TCACTGAATTAGGGAGGGAGCATGGATGTAACCAGAAGCAGCATCTTTTTGCAGTCTTCTCACTGATGCTTCCTCGCACGTGCTTGGAGTTCCTGTCATGCAGTCCCTGAAGTGCAAATACTGGCATCTGTTATGTTTTTAGGCATTCTTTTTCATTGCATTTGTTTTACCAGTGCTCTCTCTTCTCTTCTGCCTGCTCTTTTCTGTTATATCTATGAAGCCTGTGCACCAGGGCCTTCCCCTTCCTCCTCCTCCTTTTCCTTCTCCTCCAGCTCCTTATGTCCAAAGCCTACCTGAGCTGGTTTCCTCACCTCCTGATGAACCTCTTGTCGAGTTTCCTCATGGTGAGGCCAGTCGCACTCTTGGTCATTCAGATCAAGCCTAACATGGGTGTATCTGTGTCTTGACACTTAACGCATCATTTGCATAATGTGGTGGTGATGTACCCATGAAGGATTATAAAAGAATATAGTCAGTGGGGAGGAAAACCTCAAATGTTTAAGTGCTGATAAAACAGAACTGGCTTGTTAGTTGACTGGTCCTTTTCCCTCCCTTTTCCACATGTGTCTGATGCTCTTACGGATACACTTCAAGGTGAGAAACATGTTAATGTTACTATTTGTCTTGTTTTATTAATCTCTCAGCCTACCACCAGGTCTTTCTCTTTTTTGTTCAGAAGTGAGTCTGTCACGTTAACTAAACAGCAGCTTTCTTGACAAAGCGCATAGCATTAGCAGCTTCTAAGGCATGCTTTATTGATTGATGATTTTTTTAAAAATTCAGTTTACTTCTACTGCTCCTGCCATTTACTTGTAACTTAGATGTTTCATTTGTGAGGCAAAATTGAGGTTCATAAAAGCAAATTTTACTATACAGTTACTGGCTACTTTCTACAAGTTTATTAGTCCAGAGGTCCCATGGAGGTAAACCACTTTATCAGATGCATTGAAAAAATTAGACCAAGAGGTTAATTATGTTGAATTGCTTTTTCAAGTAGAATTTAACTTCAGTGTGGAGAGTGAAGTTTCAGTCAATGTTGCGAGTATTGAGCTGAGGGAAGTTCTGGGCAGCAAGGCAAGTTGACCAATGAGTGCACTAAAAAAGCCGATGAGCTTGGTCTTAGCTTGGAGATCATTAAGGGAACTGAGAAATCATTAAATCTAGAAATGGGACCTAATGGAAGTCGATGAGAGAACAGCTATGGATATTTAATGAGCAGCACTGCATCATGTTCTCATCTCTTCAGAAATAAATAATGAGATACTTGGATTTCTCTTTGAACAACAATAAATGTAGAATGTGAAAATAGCATGGGGAAAAATAATCCTTTGGGCCATCCTCTCAGTGAGTGATTTCTAAAAGCCTTAATTAATTATCTGAGTTACTTGTGAAACAAGCTTATGCGAAGCTATGGCACCATAAAGTGTCTGTTTAATAGTTAGCCCCAAACCACATCTAGCTTACCTTGAAACTCTGAGAGTTCATTACCCAGAATTATTGAAAAATTGTCTGTGTAATTTCATTCTGCTGAAGAACACAGGATGAATTCTGCATGAAAACAACTATATGCCAGAAATCCCGGTAAACAATCTTTGTTAGGCATGATGCCTTATACTGTTGCTGTAACATACTCACTAACTTTCAGCTCGTTTGTACATAAGAATAGATATGCTATTGGTGACTTCTGACAAGTAATTTCCTATTACATATTTGAAAGGAAAAGCAAAATCAACATGTCCGCAACAGGGAGGAGTTTGGATAGGAGAGGTGGGAGGTGGACTCTTGAGCTGGAGCTACTTCAGTCAGTTTATCCCATAGGGATCCTTTTCACACAGCCTGGTCATGAGAGCTGGGGGTAGTGGGGAAGCAGTGGAGATGTGAGGGTAGTTACACCATGTAGCCTTCTGCATCTGTTTTCACTGGGATACTGGGCTCCCTTAATTCCCTCTGTTGCCAACAGGAAGAGACCAGCTTCAGCAACAGGTAACTCAAGTTTCCCATATTGTGCTTATTTTAGAACATACTGTCCATCTTGATAGCTACCTCGGACTAGTCTTTTGTTAGGAATCTGAAATGGCTACACAAGCATGGAGAAATTGGAGTTTTAAGGAGTAACATGAACATCAGCTCTTCAAAACATGTCTGTCTCTTATTGAACTCTCAGGTGGAAGCTTTGCACATTGAATGGCCTGTGGTGGGTCTTTTTGTTTGTTTGGTTTTTAAAATATTTTCTTCTAACCTCCAAAATATCTTTTGGCTAGATTGTTCATATTTCTTCCTTGGCTTGATGGCAGTTCGTATGATTTTATTCTTCTATGCTCGATGTCCAAGTGGAAACCAGTGATGAGAGGTGTTCGTCAGGGGTCAGTGTTGGGACCAGCGCTGTTTAACATCTTTGTTGTCAACACGGACAGTGGGACTGAGTGCACCCTCAGGAAGTTCGACGATGACACCAAGCTGTGTGGTGCAGTGAACATGCTGGAGGGAAGGGATGCCGTCCAGAGGGACCTGGACAGGCTTAAGAGGTGGCTCCCTGCAAACAAGGCCAAGTGAAAGGTCCTGCACATGGGTCGGGGCAATCCCAAGCACAAATACAGGCTGGGCAAGGTGTGGATTGAGAGCAGCCCCAAGGAGAGGGACTTGGGGGTATTAGTGGATGGAAAACTGACTGTGAGCCAGCAATGTGTGCTCACAGCCCAGAAAGCCAACTGTGTCCTGGGCTGCATCAAGAGCAGTGTGGCCAGCAGGTCGAGGGAGGTGATTCTCCCACTCTGCTCCGCTCTTGTGAGACCCCCCTGCAGTTCTGGGTACAGCTCTGGGGCCCCCAACATCAGAAGGACATGGACCTGCTTGAATGAGTCCAGAGGAGGCCACGAAGATAATCAGGGGGCTGGAGCACCTCCTTTATGAGGACAGGCTGAGAGATCTGGGGTTGTTCAGCCTGGAGAAGAGAAGGCTCCAGGGAGACCTTAGAGCGTCCTTCCAGTACTTAAAGGAGCCTCCAAGAAAGGTGGGGAGGGACTCTTTTATCAGGGAGTGTAGGGATAGGATGAGGGGTAATGGCTTTAGAGGGTACATTCAGATTAGATATAAGGAAGAAATTCTTTCCTGTGCGGGTGGTGAGACACTGGCCCAGGGTGCCCAGAGCAGCTGTGGCTGCCCCCTCCCTGGAAGGGTTCAAGGCCAGGTTGGACGGGGCTGGGAGCACCCTGGGCTGGGGGAAGGGGTCCCTGCCCGTGGCACGTGGGGTGGGACTAGATGATCTTCAAGGTCCCTTCCAACCCAAACCATTCTATGATTCTATGATGATCGCTGCAGAATGGCATCTGTAGATACAGCCAGGCTTTTAAAAAGGTGCAGAGCTTTAGTTCTCTCCCAGGGAAATCTGAATTTAGAAGGTTATCTGCAAGAGGTGAACAGAAGAGCCATGGTGTCTTCAAACAGTGACAGAAGAGACTGTCATGGCCATCTTTTCTGGCCAATATGACTATAATTAAAATCCAAGAAAACCTAATTTTTAGAGAAATCTTTGTAGTTGTAATTCTTTTCCCCTTCTTCTCTAACCTTAGGTAAAGAAAGGGAAGCTGGGAAGTGACCGGTGCTGAAAGGCCAACAGGATGCAGGGTGGTTTCTGCCTCAGTCAGCCACATTTGATCCCACACTCCCATTTCTTTGGGTGAAGCACATGGCGGAGTTCCTACTGAGTTAACTGAGTTCAGGATTTTAGTAGAATTGCTCATTTTTTACATTGGAGTGAGGCAACTGGGACTCTCCTATTTAACACTGCTGGGCACTGAGGCTTTCCTGAGCTACAGAATTGGAAGAGAAAGATTTTTCTAAATCATCTCTGAAGGAGCAGTGTCTGGTTAGTGCTTTATCACTAACTGTTTATGTCCATTCAGTAGCTCCTTGTTTCTGTTAACTTTTAACTTGTGTTTTCTCTTTGTATCTGACACAGGGTTCAATTTCTCTGCCAAATCTATAATGCAGTATGGCTGGGAAGTGGGGGAGTAGCAATCTGATCAGGTTGAAAGTCATCATCTATTAGTTTCTCCAAAGATTTTTACTTTTAAGATAGTATTGCACATTTGTGATGTAAATGATTTATATACTTTCACACTCAACAGAAAATAAGTCTTTATAAACATGAGGTGTCCCTGATAGTATGAATAGAATTCTGCTCCCGTCTCAAGTAGCAACTTGTTAAGCTTTATTTCTGTGCATATTTGGACTCTACTTTTCTCCCATGTATTGTGTTCTTTGGAGTCAGATGAAGACTGCTGAGAACATTGGTGGTCTTCATAAGCTTTGCAGTTATGGCTGCCTTTGCTAATAGGTGGGAAACAATGGTCTTCAGAGGGAATGCAGAATTTGACACTTGGTCCTGGGCTGCCCATAAGACAGAGCTGAGCTTTTCTTAGCATTCCAGAAGCTGTCCCACAGCCCTGCATCAGGTGGCTCTCCCCAGAACAGTCCCTCACCTGGTCTTTGCTGTACTAGCAAGTCCGAGCACAGTGCTCAGTCCTGCAGGCGTGTGCTAGCCTTGATATAAATTGAAATGCATGCATATTTACTAGATTAGTCATTGTTTATGAATATCAGGCATGTTGCCAACAGTTGAATAATTGCTTGATCAAACTAGGAGTTTTTAAAATAAAATTAAGCCCTTTAATAGTATCACTATATATTTTTAATATTCTTATATAGGAAGCTTAAGTTCCATTAGCACAAGAAACTGTTTTTAAGTATTCCCAGTTCCCTCCGAGGAAACAAATTATTGCTAATTCATAGTCACATAACAGTTATCTCATCTGTGATGCAGGTCCCCAAAAAGTACGTTCTATTTTTTCTTACACAAGAGCCACAGATTGTCCGAGGAGGGTGTTTTGATGGGGCTCCCTGAGGGAAGAAATGCTGTCAGTATGGTTCCAGGAAGCAATAAGCACCTTCATGAAAATAACTCAAGTCCCCATCCTTAATCCCTGCCTATCCTTTTTTATCTGATGGACTCAGCGAGGGCTGGAAGATCACAGTGTGGCTGAAAACAAAAGGGAGTTAACAAGATGTGACCAGTCAATGGAAGAAACAATAGGCGGAAGCCTCCACATTGTCTAGTGCCCAGGTGTCCTTCCCATGCACAGGTAGCCATGTGGATCGTAGTGAGTTTGCTCTGCTGCTTCGTGCTCGGAGGGCTGCCGCGGGCAGGCGGCTCGTGCCCATCACAGTGCAGCTGCGCCTTCCACAGCCTCAGCGAAGGGACGAAAGCCAGGTATGCCGATCCTCTCCTTGGGGGGGTTGCCGCTCTTTCTCTGGGTGTCAGGGATTCAATTTCTTCTCCTTTTTTAAGGATGCTCGGAGGAGAAAATATTGCATCCAGACTTCATGTCCATTATTTTTCCAGTTGCTTTGCACTCTAGCTTTATTTGCAGAGGATTAGCTTCTGAAAACACAGTAAGCTGATTTCAGAGAAAGCGTTTGGGCATCTCCTCTGAGAACAGAAGTGACATAATTACCACTGGTGAAGTGGCAAAAAGGGAATAAAACTTAAACAAAATATTCTTATTTTTACCTTTATGCTGAAAATGCTAGTTTTAAAAGGCTTTATTCTGCTCTGTTAATTTGTTTCTGAAGTGTAACTAAATTTGGTTTGTGTTGTGGTATCAAAAACTGCAATTCCATTTACTTAAAAAATCCTTTAGGTAGTGATTTTAGGCAAAGCGATAGACTCTAGATAAGGATGAACCAAAAAAAATAGATAATAATAATAGTAATAAAAGTAAAATTATTCTCAGACTGGAAACTTTCGGTTAAAAGAGAAGACAAGACTAGAAGGACATCCATTTTTGAATGCAATGCCATTGTACAGACATTTCTCTGGAGGACTGTAATAAAAAAGTCTTTCTGAAGGGTAATCACAAAGTAATGATCTGACTTAATGAAATACAGGCTATATTTTTATAAAGTGTGGTTCACAGTAGAGGAGATTTTGTGACAGAGATACAGTATTTACAAAATCCTTTGGAAGAAATTATTTTTAGACAAGAGCACAGTACTGAAATGAAAGGCTGTCCCCTATCTTTTGGAACCCCATGAAATAGATCTACTTTCTTTTTTATGGTGCTGTAGATTTAATACCATAAACTTCCTCAGTAAGAAGCATGGTAGAGACACAAGTAGTCTGCAACTTTTAAAAGGGAATGGAGTAGTGAGAGAGCCAATTATTGCTCCATAAATGTCACAGTTCCCAGGGGAATTTCCTCTCCGTGTCTGGAAAAAGTTGTAGTGTGTTTTGGTAAGATACATAATAAAGCAAATATTCATTAGTCCCTTAAGGAGCATAATGTCACTTCTTTTCTGCATTATGATTCATATTTCTCACTAGTAGAAGGAGATTATCCCATAGATTAAACGTTCAGTGCTCACTGACATAGTCTGGAGACACTATGAAAAGCACACTGTTTTACTGCCATAGTGTCTCTGTTATCAAACATTTTGTGTCATGACTACACACACACATAAAAAGAAGTTTTATTGAAAGAGGATTTCTGGATTCTTCTTATTTGATAGATTTTTCTCCTCAAAATCTCAACTTTCAGCTGAGGGTGGGCAGGTTTTAATGCCACAATAAATATGCTGAATGAGTAATGTACTATGCTTTGATTATAAATTAACATTTTAACTATAGGCTTAAATAAGATTTAACTCTTGGAAACTTGCAGGAGCAGTTCAATGATGTTATTTGCTTTTGTTGATAGTAGAGGAATAACTGCTTTCAGCCAAAACCAATCTGGTTTTGGCAGCTTTGTAATATTCTGCCAGGAAGCATGATAAGAAAACGTTACTTGACTGATTACATTACATTTCTTGTGGTATCTTGTTTAGCATGTGGTGTGGGGCATGCCTATCTAACCTGTTACCTTTTGCAAGGTGGCTTTGTATTTTGTTAAGAACTTGCCTTTTTCTCCTTCCTGATAAGAAAATTATAGTGCAGTCTGAGACACCTATTCTGCCTCCCTTCATTCCTCATTGCTATCAACAATCCCATATCTTGGCAAAGTCAAAGTCAGAATTTTTTGTATGAAGGATGCAAAAATGCAGCATAAGGTTTTCATGATTTGACCTCTAGAGATTAGAAATGGGAAGGAATGATTAAGACACATCAGTCTGCCTTGCCTTTAGTATTGAATTTTCCAAAGAGTTAATTTTCTGCACTTTTACTGTCGTAAGTGTACATGCTTGCGGTGCAGTGACTGCTACCATCTGTACACACCTTCCAGACTATTTCATAGTAAAGCAGAGATTGCTGTAGTCTATTTCCAGTGAGTTGTTAGCTGACTTTCTTATCCTCATTTCACAAACCAAAGATCCTGTGCCATATTTAATCTATATTACTTCCTGCCACCCAGCATGCCATTAAGGCTTTTTTCTGTATGTCTTTTATTGTTCAATTTATGAATCTTTTTGTTTTCACATGCACTAGATTCCTCTGTTGTGCATGAATGTTGTCACTGCTGTCTATCATAAATACTCTAAAAAAAATTTAAAGAAAAAAAAAGCAGGAACACTATACGGGTCAGATTCAGACTCACACCACTCCAGGAGAGGCACAACACTGCAATCTCTGCAGTCAAAAGGTACATATGAATTACTGTAAGTTGATGTACTTATGGTGATGGTGTAGAGAGAAGCAGCAAGTAAGAAATGACAAGAAACCTTGTGAAAAAAGAAAGGCAGATCAAAATCTTGCATTAAAATAGAAGTTTCAAAACCTTTTCAAAATACAAGAAATTCACATCTGTGTGTGTTTCTCCACCAGGACGGTGCTGTGTAATGACCCAGAGATGACCCTCACTCCAGTGAACATCCCGGTAGATACATCCAAGCTTCGGATAGAAAAGACAGCCATCCGCAGGGTGCCAGGAGAGGCCTTCCATGAGCTCCACAACCTGGAGTACCTCTGGCTGCCCTATAACTCCCTGGTCAGCCTCAGTGGGATCACCTTCAGGGGCCTTTATCTCCTGCAGGAGCTGAGGCTGGATGGGAACAACTTAATATTGTTCCCCTGGGAAACCCTGGCTGACATGCCACAGTTAAGGCTTCTGGATTTACACAACAACGAACTTACCTCAATCTCTCCAGATGCTGCTCGTTATGTCAAGAATATCACATACCTGGACCTGTCTAGCAATAAGCTGATGACTCTTCCTCAGGCTCTTATTGCCACCTGGGTCAACCTCCAGGCCGTTCCTTACTTCCCCAACGATAACTCCAAGATCATCCTAGGTAAGAGAAGGGCCTGTCATTTTGCAGGGGGCACAAATGTCAAGAGCTCCACATCTTATTGCACCACACTGAGTACACTGCTGTGTACAATAATACCCCATATAAAGTGTGAAAATTCATTTACATATTAACAAACTCACCTCAGGCTCCCCACACCTGGCTTATGACACTATCACTTGCTTGAATCTTTGTAACACAGAACTGGTGACTCTTGCTCAAGCCCTTTTTATTTATTGACGCTGCCGTTTTTGGCAGAAATACAAATATAATTAGAGCTCCACATCATTCATGTGCTCTTTTCTAATAACAGTTACTATTGGAATCGATCAAATTTAAGCAGCATTAAATAAAACCGTGGATATTTATTATGTCCAAATTATAGAGGAATAAAGCCATCACTGAGCATAAAATCTGGGTCAGGACTGCCAGTTTGTCTCTTTTCAGAGCCTTGTTTATGTGCTCACACAGAATTAAACCCTAGTCTCCCCAGAGCCATCAAGATAGTGCTGCCTTCAAGGGCAGCTATAAAGTTACAAGAATCTACTTTTTGATGACAATTTTTGTCTCCTCAGAAGTATGACTTTGGGGCAATTGTCTATTTTTGTGTTGGAGGGCAAATTACAGATGACTGTCTTGAATCCTCTCAGTTGCAGTATCCCCAGATGAGGTTTCGAGCACATTTACTCGTTCAGGGGATTAATACTCAGCCTTTTAGCCATCATGCACTGGTTCAAATCCACAGCAGGTTGACGATGGTTCAGAGTTGTTGCCGTCTGCTGTCTTCACTTGCTATGAGCTGACCCAGCTCCACTGACTATGTTTGATCTGTGATGTGTTTGCATCTGTGTGTACTGCCTCTACATCCATGGGTGTGAGTTCAGGCACTTGCTGATAATGTCATCAGAGATATCGCAAGTTTTCTCTCACCCTGGGAAGTACCCACTGGTCTTTGTTCTCTGGATAAATTTAGGGGTAAGGTTTTTAAAACCAGATTGCAGTAGAAAGACTTTAAAAAGATTCGAATTGTCAACTACAAAGATTTTAGTTTAAAACATCTGATAAGCATCAGGAGAGGAGCAGGATTTTCGTCATCTTGTTTTGCCAGATGCAATACCAAGTTCTTTAAGCCAAAGCTGGCTTTTTGGGATTGACCATTTAATTTGTGGCATGACAGGACACTGCCTAGATCATACTCTTTATTTATTTTTTTAGAGTCAAGTTGCATGTAAAAATATTATTCCACTCAATATAGATTAGGAGAGTATTTTGTCAAGAACAAATCATGCCTTGCCACTTGTGGCCAACTTCAGTGTTTACGTAGCCAGCTGTGCACAGGTTGCTTGTGCCAGCATCCTAAAAAATTAATGTAGGCAAATGAGTACAATGCTAAGATTAATATGGTAATGTACAGACACTCCAGCTCCTTGGTCCTATCCTGCTGACACCCATAGGGACTGGGTATATGAAACACATGTCCCTCACAGGAGCAGAATGGGAGAACACAGCTGCGTGTTTCTGTTTCACTCTGGTCATGACTGTTTGTCATGGAGGCATAAAAAAATCCATGAATAATAAAGAGTAAACCCAGTCCCTTCCTTTGTCTACAGTGCACCATTGTGTTTCCTCTTCAGAGTCCTTGTTTGTAGACTACTTCAAGAAGAAGTATTGCCAGCAGTAGTTTGATGGCTGATAGTCTGTGCCAAGGCTGCAAGCCTTTGCACATGAGGATTGCCCAATGTGAGCCCACAGGACTGTGCCGTGCAGGGCAGCAAAGGGCTCCCTGGGATTTTTGGGGTGCTGCAGCATCAACAGGGGCTGGGGAATCTGGAATAAATTGTTATCTAGTGCATGAAGTCAGAAGTAAGCTGGCAGCAAAAAATGCCATAAAACTACAAAGCCATGCTGAACTTTATTTAGTCCCCTTAACTTTAATATATTAGTTTATAAGATGTGCCCTCCTGCCAAGGCCCACCACTTTCAGATCCTCTTCCGAGTCCAGGGAAGATGGTATGCAATGGTCTCAGAAGAGATTTTCCAGCAGAATCTTTAAAACAGTTTATTTGAGGCCTCAAGGGCTTTTGATTAACCCTGTGTTTCTGTTGATTCTAGCAAACTGAAGCAGCCCCCTGGTGCGCATGGAGCCTTGTGGCACACCCTCTGTGCTTATGTCAAAACTTGGTTCTTGCCAGAAAGCCACTGCTCGCCTGACTTCTGCTGCAGTGCACTGGGGCCAGCAAGACTGGGCGCTGTAGCGTGGGCAGCTGTTCCCTCCTGCCAGGAATCAAGGGAGTATCAGTCCTCTCGGCTTTCAGGCAGTCGCCAGCCCCAAGCCATGTCCTTGGGCTGCCTGCAGAGAAATGGACACAAAGCCTTCTTAAAGGGAGCAAAGCTCATTCCTGTGGCAGGCAGGAGGCCTGGGAAGTGGTGGTCCTGGCTTAGGCTTCAAATGCGTGCCTGGGGTTGGATGGTATAAAGATCCCTAGTGCCAATTCTGCTAGCTAAAGTCGTTAGAGACCATAAACTGTCCATAGGACAGGTGAATGTGAATATTTGTAAGTAGGAGAACACAGGTTTAATCATAATGTAGCAACTTCTGTTTATGGATGTGCATTACTCTAGTTCCAATTTTGCTTTTTCAGTACCATCTTTACAGGTCTATTTTTAATACAGTAATCTCTCTTTTTTTTAAGAATTTGAGTTCAGTAGGCACACACTGGGATAGAAGAAAAAAGAAAAAGAGAAACATTTTGGGACTCTGAAACAGGAGTGTATTCTTCAATATACCCCTTTCTATGTGTATAATCTTAATATAGTTATTGTCTATTTATGTTCTTTTATATACCATAACATGTATATTCTTAAACATTATTCTTTTCATCCTTAAAACTGTTCTTTCATCTCATCAACTCTAAATTAACCTTTCAGGAAAAACAACTGATTATTAAAATAATATAACTTAGAATAACATGACTCTTACAGTCAAGTAGGATCACCTACACCTATTGCAGTCCTCACAGCTGGCATGACAATCTGGTTAATATTTTCATAATCTCCAGTAAGAAGAATTTCCTGGCCTCTCTAAGGAAGAGACTCCATAGTCTTTTCATACCAAAAAATCCACACCCCAAAACAAACAAACACTCCCCCATGGCTACTTGTTTTTTCTCTCCTGGAACCAAATGTGTTTATAATAACTTATTGTTTTGCTTCTTTATGTGCTTAAATAGTGATGTTTTCATTATATGAATAATCCTGCTTTGAATTTAAAGAATGTGATTTCAGCTCCAGATTTTGAGATACTTTAGCAGGCCATATTTATTCCCTTCTACTAACTGGCAACTATAGGATCTATTAAACTCTGCCAACAGCATTGGTGGGATATTGGGACACCCCCCCACCCCACATATCCCTGCATATGCACAGGCAGACCTTGATGGGCAGATTGGGAGCCTATCACAGTTTGTCCTGCTGAAAAATAGAAATGAAAGTGGTAGAAACAAAAGGTGCTGTTGGAGTGACTTAGTGCTCTGATTTATTTTCACAGGCTTCCAAGACAATCCTTGGGTATGTGACTGCAGCCTGTATGAAATGGTCCATTTCCTAAACTTCCAGTCTCCTAACATAGCATTCATTGAGCCCAGGCTGAAATGCTTCACCCCCCAGAGCCTTGCAGGAGTCTTCTTCAGCCAAGTCGAGCTAAGGAAGTGTCAAAGCCCTGTTGTACATACGTCCGTAGCCAAAGTAAAGACCATCCTGGGCAGCACTGTGCTACTGCGATGTGGGACAACAGGGGTGCCCATTCCTGAGCTCAGCTGGAGAAGAGCTGATGGTGCTCAACTAAACGGCACAGGTGGGTTTGGTTTAAGCTTGTCTCATACACATGGAATGAGTGAGGGAGATGTGCACCTTTATTTTCTACAGACTGTTTAGCAAATGGAAACTTCTGTGACAATAGATCCCTCCTGCTGATAAAAGACCCAAAAAAGGAAAGTGATGCAAAATTAAAATTCACTATAATTCACAATAGCATTATGTGTAATTCACTGTTGCATTGTGGTTTTCTATAGACTATAAAATTACTTACATTTTGATATAAATATCATCTGATAAATACTATCATGTGTAAGAAGTTGGTTTTGCTTTGTTTCATAACAACTGTGGTGGTGAGACAAGTCAAGGGGGTTTCTGCAAATCTATTGGAGCTGAACAGTGAAATATGTCCAGCTGTATCAAGATGTTGTTTTAAGTTAGTTATTTAGTTATTCAGTCACTGAAAAGTCTTCCCACTGAATTATTTTGTGGGTCTTTGAGACTAATGATGCACTGATGTTAATCAGTTGGTAAGTAAGTATCTCTGGCAGAGAGATGTCTGATTTGAATTCAACTGGGATTCAAATCTAATGTGTCAAAGGAAGAAAAGTTTGCAAACATGCAACGTTACTGATATATTAAAAGATAAAAAATCCACTAAACTTGCTGAAGGATACAATACTTCAGTGACAATGCTTACAAGAAATGGTTCATTTCTGATGGATTGGCAAAGTCTCTTGGGAAAATGCTCTGTGGGAGAAACACTGACCAGATCCCTCTTCTGTGCTCACCCTTCTTGTGGGGAAAGCTTTCAAACAGCCACTGTTTTTGTGATTGATCTTTTCCATTCACAAGAATGGTTGGACCTAAAATTACAATACTGGTCCTTTAATATGTAGGAAATTTAGGGAAGGCTGGACTCAAGGCAATCCTCCTCAGCATTTTACCCCTGAGGTTTTAGGTCAGGAGCTGAACCTTCATCCCTCCCTCTGAATGCTACTGTATCTCAGGCCTGGCACTGACTTTCATAGAGGGTCTAAAGTCAGCAGATAAATTGATAAGTATGGGGTCTGATCTTCAACAGGTTACAGGGCTCCTCAGTGCACACAAACAGGGGAGAGAGCATTTTTCTTTCACAGCAGTAGAACCACTTGTAATAAATATCCTTTTTTGGGATCTACACAAGTCATTGCTCTGTTGTGCAGGATGTGCAGGATGTAGCAGAGCTGCTCCTCATAATGCTAATGTCTAACCATCGTGCTGCAAACATCCCTCCTACACTTGAAAGAGAGCTACAGGAAAAAATAAAACAAAAATGTTTTCCTGAAAGTGTATGTTGAGTTTACTTTGAACCGAAACTGAGAATGATGTATTTTGTGCCCCATTAAATCAGACCTTAGCACCTTTCAATAAAAAGTTGGCTGAAAATATACATTTTTTCTCAGCAATGGCAGCTTCTGTGCCAATGCTATAATACGACTGTTCGAAATGTTGGTGTTCTGAATAGAAAGGAGTGAGAAACAGCCCACAGACTGTATGTATGGGGAAGTGCTGTAGGAAGACCAGTAGGTTTATGTTTTTTAATATACCTGTTCAGTAAATAATGAAATTGAAAAAGTAACTTCTGCTGCCATTGTATTTCACTGTCATTGGAACATGCCCTGGTTCCCAAGGCTGGGTCCTGACCCCACGAGGGCTTGGAAGAAGTTTGCATTCTGTCTTACCTTTGCAGTTGAGACATCTCCCTGGTTTACCTTTCGGTGGGAAAGGGCAGAGATAGTATGTGCTCATCCTAAGGAGTCTGGTTAAATAATGAAGAAGATATTTTACCCTTCTGCATGATCCCAGTTGTTTTTTTCTGCACAAATATAAATGGAAAAAAAAGCTAGTTTTAGCTTTCTGCTAAACTAAGTGAGAAAGTCAACACTCAGCTGTGTACATATCGTTCAGTGGTAAGTGATCAGACTTCCCTGTGTTTGGCTCAATATAAAAACCCACACTACTTTAGTAGTAAAAGGGATATTATTTTTCAGCTATTTTTCTCCATATACTCTAGACTAGTCCATATATGTATTTTACAAGAAAATCACCGGTGTTTGTATTCTGTGTGACTCAGACGACTGCACCTAATGTTCAAATAGATTGTGTTACTGCCTAGTCCAAGCACTGTACCTACATAAGAGCTTTTAAGCTTTTTTTTTTTTTTTTAATGGAAGAGCCTTTCCTGTTCTGTTTTTAAACTGTACATTAATTTGGAGGAAACAACAACAAATTCTTCGCATATATTCAGTCTGAAGCAGTGTAAATCCCAACATAATCTAATTTTAGTGTTAATGTCCTTTTCTTGGATTTACTTTGATTTTGTAATGTTCTTGGTGGCAAAAAGAAGTTATAATTCTACTGTATTGAGCAGACATTTGGCTGACTGAATCTTAATATTTTACAAAACATGTTTTTCATTCTATTGGTTATTGCCTATTTATTTTACATTTTTTCTTCCCTGTAGTTCACCAAGAGATTTCCAGTGATGGGATGAGCTGGTCTATTCTGGGCCTGCCTGTAGTCTCTTATCTTGACTCTGGGGAGTACATCTGCAAAGCAAAAAATTTTCTGGGGGCAACAGAGGCATTCATATCTCTCATCATCACAGACTCAGAAAGCACAGATGACCCCGACTCTAACGCCAAAGGCGCATGGAGCAGGAAGGTAAGCAGGATGGAAGCAGCTGCCTACAATGACAAGCTAGTGGCAAGGTACGTTATCACCACCTCCACCGTGCCTACCCTGGGGGCTGGGGTGGGCACCGGAGAGAGCCTCCTTCTCCCAGATGTGGCACAAGACAGCAACCCCAGGAACCTGCTGGTGAGCCCGCCTACCGGTCACCAGGAGCCGGAGCACATGGTGAGGTCCGTCAGGGTGATAGGAGACACCGACCAGAGTATCACCCTGGCCTGGAAGGCACCTCTGGCAAACAACACGACAGTGTTCAGTGTCTTTTATGCTGTCTTTGGTGAGAGAGACATGCGGCGGATCAACGTGGAGCCAGGGAAGACCAAGGTCAGCGTTTATGGGCTGCTGCCGAAGACCAAATACATTGCGTGTGTCTGCGTGAAAGGACTGCTCCCCAGGAAGGAGCAATGCATTATCTTTTCCACGGACGAAGTTGCCAGTGCAGGAGGGACCCAAAAGCTCATCAATGTGGTTGTCATCAGCGTGGCCTGTGTCATTGCTGTTCCTCTGACGCTGGTTGTCTGCTGTGGAGCACTGAAAAGGCGCTGCAAAAAATGCTTTGTGAGGAAAGCCAAGGAAAATCAGGAGTCTTATGTCACCTTTGAAAGCCTGTCTCCTGGGGCCAAGGTGAAAGGCGTGGAAGGAGAATACTTGACTAGACATATCCCCGATGAGTCAAACAGGCTGCTGTCTGCCCGATCCAGCGTGGACTCAGAAGCAATACCAAAGATAGAGGGGCAACCTAATGAATACTTTTGCTGATACTAGCTAGGCTGATTGTCGGCTCCCCAGGTGGAAAGCATGTGGCTGTATATGCGACTCTCTGCTCCAGCACTGCAGGCCAGCCTGTCTCTGACATGTTCTGGAGGTGGATGCAAGAGGGTACCAAGCTTTACAGAAACATGCTGCTCATCCCACTTGGGGTTTTCTGTTTTGTACCCAGTCAAAAGCTTCTGTGATAATGGCCTCGTTCTCCTGGACCACTTTTATTTTCGTAAAATGAAGCGTGCACACTGGGTGTGAGGACATTAAGCAACATTTCTGAGTGTGGTCTGCTTGGTGTTGCTTAGTACCTACTCTACAATATGTTAAGTATTTTATTCTCAGCTCTTTTGATGTTCTTTTGGTTGACAAACAGGGGAGCGTTTAGTAATTTTAATATAAATATCTACGAAGGTGAAGATTGAGAGTCTCATCTTCTACGTCCCCCATGTTTGCATGAAACATGCTACTTGATGCTTAATAGATCACTAAACACAAATGTACAGAAGCCCTTTCTAGTATGTCCAACATAATAACAGCTCTATGCTCTGAATTCAGAGAAATGTGCAGAGGAGATGGAAATCAAGAGACAAAACCCAATCCACTCTTAAGAATACATAATAGAGAGCATTTTGTGATTGCATTTTGGCCCTGGACACTATTCTTAAGACTTTCTTGAACAACGGTACCACACAGGTCTTTCAGTATCAGTCCTTGCTGGCATTTTGTAGCTGTATTGTAATTAGACTATGTTTTATATCAGCTGTGCTAGTTAAAGATCATAGAATAGCTTACTCTGCAAATTGTGCATGGTGATGTAATGCTTTGTAATCAGTACTGAAAAATCTACATTAGACAGTTCTGCAAAAATCTCCCAGACAAGCCCTGTCATTGCTGCTGGCTCTCCTGACAAAACTGGTGCTGAAGACCAGAAGGATCAGCCAGGCACTCGTGGTTTGGTCATGAAAACACCTTGCTCTGTGCTGAGCAGGGATACGTGATGTGGTGGCAGACTGCTGGCCAGGAACACATTAGCTGTACTTCCACCATGGCATCAGTGGTGGCAGAGGATCTATGCAGACTTTTGTGTTTCAAACATTTTACCAAGCTCAAGAACCCTGAAAAAAACTGACTAATATTAATCTAAATGTACTTTCAGAGCCAGGGTGAGCTAATCAGTTATTTAAGTCCTGCAGCTCCGCTGGAATTTGGATCTGAGTGATTACCACAAAGCACTTCCCAACTGTATAATTTTCCACTCCAGTCTCTCATGTAGTAATACTGTATATAAAGTCTTTCCCTTTTGTAATAAATATACTTCATGAAGAAAATTATATATGTTCTGCCAAATGTTGAATGGGAGGGATCCACCCCAGTTGAAATGATAATTGATAAAGCTTGCTGAATTGTTTTGAAATGTGTATTCATAAACCTATTGGAAGGATCTCCACTCACATTCTGGATGTGTATGTACGGTGTGGGTTAACAAAATTCACTGGTTGGAATGGAGCCCTGTATGGATTTCGCAAGTCCTCATACAGAAGGGTTTCAGTTATGTCAGATTACCTGTCCTGATGGAAAAAGCAAGTCATCTGATCTCAACATAAGTACTACAACAGGCGATATGTTACAATAGTTTGTGATAGGACTCCCTGCATTCCTTACATTAATGAGAAAGAACTTCTCTTTTATTGAGAGAATTTGTCAATCCCTGTATAAAATGTTACTTCATTCAGTGGACTGCATAGATTTTTAGATTTCCAAATAATGTTTTGCAAAATTATGTATTTTACTACAACAAATTAATTGATGAAATATGTAGTATGTAACAGATCTGTTTATTGTTTTTACAGTTGCATTTCCCAGGATGATTTTTAGAGTCTCTCTCCAAGGTAAAACAAAAATATTTTTCCAGTAGCAATTTTTGGGATGAGTTGCAAGGATTGCTGTATTATTGAGCCTGATTCCTGCCCACATCTGCAGCAGTATGCAGAAACCAGCCTGATGTGGCCCTGGATGGATAAGCTAGCTCTGAAAAATCAAGGCTGACCTAAAGTTCTCCTGTGGTGAATAGCGTGGACCTACTGCCCAAGGACTTTCCTGTAAGTCAGGTTTGCAGGAGCTGACTGGCAATGAGAGGTATTCACCTTTGGCTGCCTGGAGGCAGGAGCTGGGTAATTTGCTGCATCCTGCCCTGGTGAGGAGCAGCTCTTGCCCTCTCCATCAGTGCATGCTCTGACGCACGGTCTGTGAGTCAGCAATGGGAAAGGCACTGCCTGGGCCAGCGCTGTCACTTTTTGCTTGCAAGGTGGGGAGGATGGAGAGGTCATCCCGTGACATTCGCTGCAAATGTGTTAAGTTTTACAGACTCTATTGGGTATTTTTTGCACTTTCAATAAATAGTGATCCCAAATAGAACAAACATGATTTTTCTATTTCCTATGACTATTCTCACTGTCTCATAGGTGAGGCATCACAGTTTAGCATCTCAACTGCTGCTGCTCCAAAACAAGCCTATCTCTCTACTGCACTCATGATTCACACAGGATAATCAATAGATAGGAACTTGTATAAGCATCCGGTGTTGGTCAGAAGAGAAAGCCTATACTTGCTAAACTGCAGGTGAAATGTCAAGCCATTAAATAACCTGATTTTCAACTGAATGTGACTTCAAGGCTCTGGGTCAGATTATCAGTGGTATGAGGCATGTAAAGATAAATGCCTCACTACATTTTTGTTGTTGTTGTTTTAACCAAAGGAGTGTTAGGCATCTAGTTTCATTAGGGTTAGCTCAAGCAAGCCTCCTTCTCTGGTCATAAGACACATGAATGGAGCTGGCTCCGAGTTCAGGCAAGGAGAATATTCATCCCTGGAAACAATTTCTTACTCACTTAAAGTCAATCCTTAAACAGAGATGTGCTGTAAGAACTGAAATGAACATCTGAATATCTTTTGGAATTACTGTATTAGAAGCATTTTTTTTTTTTTTTTTTTTTTTAATATACTTTGCTCTGTTTGGTTTTCTTTTTCCTTGGAAAATGTTTCCTCTGTTAATAATCTCTTTATGTCAGGTTTTGACTAATTGGTTGCTTTTTGGGATCTGTTTAAAATATTTTGCCGCTGTCAAGCAATTTATTTTGGAATCTCTTGGAGTACAATGTTCCTTACTTTCACTAATAACCATTTAAAAATTTCTTCTCAGATGAGTGTTGAGACACTTCCGTAATACTTAGGAATAAAGCAACTGTCCATCTGCATGAGGCAGGAGGTTTGCACCGGCTGCCTGGGCTGAGTGCTTTGGTGACCACTACAAACCAATCCTTGATGGGCACTTCATGGGATATATAACAGACAAGCTCCTCCTTCCACAATATCTTTTTATACTTATTTTGGAAATCAGTGTAGTACAACATTACAAAATTAAGGATAAGATTTAAAAAATAAGGTAATCATGTTTTAAAAATTAATCCAAATAGCTCTGAACTGTACTGGCAAATTGTTATTACTTCTTTTTCTTGACCTGGAAAAAAGCAGCTATCAACATGAGGGAACTGAGCAGCATATAAATGAAATAATGTGCCCAAAGTGATTAAAAAGGAGCACTGCAAGTAGTTGAAGTGCAAGAAGAAATGTTGAGGCTTTGAAATATATTTTTCCAAACACCTTAAAAAGCATCCAGATTATCTGGTGAGTAGATCCAGACAAAGGCTAATATTGGCTCTGATTTATAAAGTCTTTGCAAATATTTTTAGTGCCACATATGTATAAAAATTCAACAAATTAAAAATAATGTTAGGGCTGACAAACGTCTTATCTCTACAATGTGATTTAAGCATGCTGGAAAGCTATAATTGCATTGTGTGGCCACTTTCGCATTTTTTTCTGTGTGCCCAGAAAGAATAGACTAGAAGGGCTTTAAATGATTAAAAAATGTAGGACACAAATGTGTGCCTGTGAATATATATAAATTTGTGGAAAAAAAAAAATAATGCAGAAATGTCAAGGAGAACAGTAAAATATTTTTCAAGGTATTTTAAAAAGTGAATGGATATTGAAGAATGACTTTGAAAGTATCCCAATGGTAAAATAAAATCTAAAGGTTAAAAAGTGCCTGAAGAAGCTGACATCAAAGTCCCTCAATGTCAGAAGTGTTCGGGGAATGTCTGAAAAGTTTCAGGATGTACTGAATCAATAGTCAGTGCTACCATACCATGACTTAGTGGCAGCTTCACCAGCTTTAAAGTCCCTGAGCAGAAGATGCAAATTTTTGCCCAAAACAGAGCAAAAGAATTGTCCTCCATTTGACTCCTCTATTAATCAAAATTGAAAAGAATTTAGCAATTGCCAGCAAAGGTTCAAACTGATGAGAAATGTGTGCGTGCCCCAGAGAGAAGGACCAGGATCTTCTCAGGGGCGGCAGCGAGCCTTGGAGCGGTGCCCATGTTTCCCAAGAGCCAGGGGCTGCTGGTGGTGACGCGGGGCTGCAGCGACTGCGGCTGCACCCCACGGGAGTGTGTCAGCCCTTGGCTCCTGACCTCTGCATGGAGACCGACTCTGCTCCTGCCCTGAGGGAGAGACGAAACCTTTCCTTTCCTCAGGAGGGTGAAAAGGGGGTGAGTTGTGACCCTTTGCTGGCTTTCTGTGGGACTTGCTGCAGCGGGGCTGGAGCTGTGGTGCCCCAGGAGACCCCGGCAGAGGTGTTGGGTTAGTCAAAAAAATTGAGGAAAGACTGGCAAGTTTGTACAGCTGCTGTTGTTGTTGAAGGCATGTGAAAGAAAAGTCTTATTTACCTCTCCATGTCACCTTCCTCTTTTTCACAGCTGCTTTTTCAAGCCTGTACCATTTGGTGTTACATGCAACAAATCTGAACTATCCAACTGCAGCCTTCACCTCTTACATCCTCCCCAGCAGGGATTTCGAGCACTGGTAGCCCTGGCAGAGGGACAGTAATTGAAAAGCATCAGCCTGGACTTGATTTCTTACAAACCTGTGTGTGCCTGTTGCTTCAAGATGGAGTTTCACTCCCTCACCATTACTGGGAGCATTCAATGGGCATCCTTTCGGTGTTTGCTTTGGCAACTGGTGCAGTCTCTTAAATCCCACTGCCCACAGATTATCAGACGATGTCTCTGTGAAGATTTGACAGCTTGGGTTTTAGACAGCTTGTTCTGGATTTTGGGTTCGGCCAGGATGCCACTTGACATTAAAAAGCAGCTGAACTGAGTGGACATCTGCTGTCACAAAAGTGACCATTAAATTTACAGGCGGGCATAAACTGGGCTGAATTAAAAAGGCAGCAAAATCCCACTCCAGTAGGGAACATAAACATAACGGCTGCAGCTAACACTGTTGGCGGGATTTTTTCCTTTACTGTTTTTTTTTTTTTTTTTTCCCTCTCTTTACCACCCTCTCTCTATCCTAGAGAGTAGGTAGACTCTACCCCCTAATTCATCTGATTTTTATAAGTTATTCACCACTAGTTTCTCCACTAGTACTGGACCTTATGAGTACACTTGGGGTTTGGGAATATTTAGAGAAATGGCCTCTCAAGCAGCAAATAAATATCAGCCTGAAAACAGCTGGAGCACTGTCCCATGGTACTGACTAACACCACTCTTTGGAAGGCCATTTTCCAGCCTTGTAGAAGATAGGTGGGACTCGAAGGAGAGCTCATGTGAGAGGAAGAAAACTGCAATTATTTTTTTTTCCATTAATCAACTCATTTATTTAAATGACTGTAATTTTTCTCCTAACAGAATCCTGGATGAAATTTTATTTGCTTCATCCCAGGACACTGGGCATTATGTACCTGTACTGTGCCCAAAGATGTACATGGGAGGGGACTGACTAATAATTTTTACTCCATAAACTTGTTAATAAATAACACTTTTTCATGAAAGTTATTTTTGAAGCTGTGCCTTTTCGCTGCCACACACTTTCAGACCCTCTCTGCAGGCCATGGAGGAGGGATGTGAAGGTGGCAAAGGAAGAGCCTTCCCTCCGAGCAAAGGATGTTTTTGCAAGGTTGGGCCTTAAAAGTAGTGAATCCTTCCTGTTGACCCGCCCAGTGCTGGTGACAACCAAACTGTCCCAACCCGGTGGCCTTTTTCAAAAAGTGGGTAGTTTTCTATCACGTTTCCCTCATGAACCCCACGCACTGATGGGCATGGGCATCGCCATCGCCTCATGAATGCCTGGCCAGCATAACTGGCCAAGCCTTCAGACATTTATCCCATCACAGGAAGATGTCCCATCACCTCTAATGCTGAACGCCATCAAGGCACTGGTTTTCTTCTGCCTCTGCTGAAAGCTTTTCTCTCCCAAACCCTGCAGCTCATACACAGGCAAACTCCAGGTTTGGCCCTGACTCCCAGCTATTTTCTAACTACCTGCATCATATGTAGTTTACTACTGATAATACCAGTTATAATGAAGTTATTATTATAAAATTCTAATAATATTGTTGTTTTACTAGGGAATATTTCCATGGCAGACTATAGAAGAGGACCAATGGCAGTGGTGAGTGTGGTGTTTGTCTCCCCAGAGGCCCATGCCCATGCAGGGTGGGCACAGGGTCCCCAAGACCCTCTAATTCAGTGAGTGAGGGATGACCAGGAAGGACACATCGTCCCATTGCGGCTGCCAGTGTCGAGCCTGCAGCACTCCCAGTTTAGCCAGCCAGCCCCACTGACAGGTGTCCCCTTTGCTGCTTAAGCTACACTGAAAGTGCATAAGGAGCATCTGCCTTGGCTCAGGGGAGGTGTACTGGTGCCACTTTCATTGCAACAGCAACAACTTCACCAAGAAATGTCCCCAGAGGCCACCACAGCCAGGTGAGGGATTTACAGCTGCTACATCTGCTGTGCTACAGACCAGCAACTTTTGTCCTTCACTCATAGCTTACTGACATGTTCAAATGTAGGGCAGCTGTTGCAATATCAAGTACCACACCATGGACAAATAAGGAACATTTCAGTTTAAAAAAGAAAAATCCCTCACTCTCGTGGTTGGATGCTGGGCACAGTGAGCAACAGCAGCCTAGCAGGCCCACTGCTCACAGCCTTCTGCTTCTGCACAGGCGGCCATCACGAAGCACTGCAACAGTCCCCAGCGGTTTCCCCACCAGTTTGTTTTGCTGATTTGTCTTGACATCAAAGCGCCTGTTGGTTTAAAATCTCCGAAGCAATCCTATGTCTTCTGCAGGCTTACAGCAGCTGTGCTATTGCACTAACCCTGACAGTCATGTATAGATCTAAGCTGCCGCACTATAAATATTTTTCTATCCTGGTCCCGTAGGTTAGAGGTTAAGTAGGTTCAGACTAATCTTGATTTGTGACCCAGCTTCACATGTACTGGCAGTGAGGTTAAGCCCTTTTCCTGCGGCGCGCTGCCTTCTGTGGGATGTAATGAAACCCATACACACTAGATGGCCCCAGGAGAACGCAGCGCTACTTGGAAATTGTTAACAGAAACATCTAGTTTGGATTTAAAAAAGATAAATAAATTTGGTTACTCCAAATTCCCTCTCACAGAATTAGTTAGCATGAGTTTTTCAAGGTGACCGAAAGGCAATTGGCACATATCTTATGGGGAAGCCAGTGTATAGCACTGACATTTTATATTTATACAATAGAGTTGATTAACTTTCAAGATACTCTTTTCTCAGAGAAGCCTACAGACTGGCTACAGCTATGTTGCTGTTTTCATTACCAACATGTAAGAATGGAGATAGTGTTCGGGGGAAGTTGTTTCAGGGCAAAAATAGCCCATACTTATGTTTTCCTGACAGAGCAACTAAATTTGGAGAGTAGGTTTTGCGCTCACCACGTGTACCCTGCACCGAGCTGTGGGTGCCTGATGGCTTGGGGCCTGATGGCTTGTGCAATATGGCACTATGCACTGACAAATTACAGCTGTGAATCTGGCCCTTCCTTTGTTTTTTCTGGCTTGATAAATGACACTAAAATCTACGAGATTGAGCCAGACCCCCTGAAATTAAAAAGTAAATAGGTCTGGTTAACTACTTGTGAAGGCCTGGGGACAGAAGTGGTTTCGGAGCCATCTTCATATTACCAACTGAAAAACCATGTCTGTCAGAATCCCTGCAGCTAAAGAATGAATGCCAAGAGTGGTCCTGGGGCTAATTTTTAGCACTTCAGCACAGGCTATGAACCATACTACTGGCAGTCTTCTTTAGGGTTGGGGCCCCAGCAGGATTTATTTCTGCGTCAAGGAAGATTACAGCTAATAGGATTTGCTTCTTGGAGTCTGTTGGCATGTTTGGTGCAAACCCTGCATAGTGCTTTCTTAAAGGAGAATATGGACCCTATTTGTCATATTTTTCTTCTACTTCTGGTTTTCCACACAATAAACCCATCTGTTTCATCTTGTGTCACAGGATGCTCTTGTTCTCAAGACAGCTTTGGAAGGTAAGAACGCTAGTTACCCTAGTTGTAGCCCCAGTGAAGCAGCTTGGAGAGTCCCAATATATATTTGCTGATGATGTGAGTGCCAGAACCAAACAGATGGCTGCACGGTATGCCTCGTCGAATACTTGACTAGTACGAGCTTGTGCACAGAATGGGCTTTTGCTTATTTCCCTGAGATATGTCATTGCATACGTAGCAATTGTTATGACTTAATTGTATTCTTTGTGAGAAAATGCATGTAAAACCCAGAGAAGGATGGATATACGGCTAATGCATGCCCCGTATACAATACCTTGTAATTATTCAAGTGTTTGTAGACCTGTACAGGGAACTACTTTGTTGGCCATGAATGTGTTGTGTGACCTGGAGAATTTTCTGGTTTCCTCCATAGGAGTTTGCTTTGCATGTCTGCACTGCTGAGGCAGATCCCTGAAAACATCCCTCAGGACGTCCGGAAAATTAGAATAGAAAATTCTCACCTAACAGAATTCCCTCGTGGGTCTTTTGAGAATGTTAGTGCCTTGGAGTATCTCTGGCTCAATTTTAACAACATCACAGTGATGCATATCAAGAGTTTGGAATATCTGCCGACTCTGAAGGAGCTGCGCTTGCAAGGGAACAAATTAAGTTCGGTGCCATGGACAGCATTTCAAGACAGCCCGGCTCTGAAAATCCTGGATCTGAAGCACAACCGTCTGGATGTCCTTCCAGAACATGCGCTCCGCTATCTGCCCAACTTGACCTATTTAGATCTATCCTCAAATCAGCTTACTGTCATATCCAGCGATGTCTTCTACAGCTGGCCTGTCTATCAGCGGAGCCAGAAGGTGGAGGGGCAGATAGAAGCTATTGCCAACGCCGTCCTGGCCCTTCACGACAATCCCTGGATTTGTGACTGTCGCCTGCGAGGATTTGTCCGGTTTATCCAGTCAGTTGGCCTACCTGTTATTCTGATGAATTCCTATTTAACTTGCTCAAGCCCAAAATTCCAGGCAGGGAAGTTTTTTCATGAAGTGGAGCTCAACAGCTGCATGAAGCCCCTGACCTCAGCCCTTGACACTGATGTGACAGTCCCTGTGGGGCTGAACGTCACCCTGACCTGCTTTGTACAAGCCAGTCCTTCCGCGGCTGTCTGGTGGACCTATGCACTCAAACCTTTAAGGTCATTTAATGGTAAGAAAATTTTTTTTTTTTTTTCATTAAAAATTTATGTTCTGCTATTCTACTTATGTGGGTCTTCAGGCCATCACAGTCAGCACACAATGTCTCAGCCCCTTTAGAACATCAGTTACTGTGGTGGCTATAATCCAAATAATCTTAATCATCCTGTGTGTCTAAGCACATCTGAGCGTGAGAAGAGCTGCTTCATGCAGGAGAGTAGTCAAAGATGAAGGGAGCATGGCCTCATTTTTACACAATTATTTTATGTGTTGATTTTTAGTAGCAGCTCTTTCATCATGACACATGATGTAAGAACTATTAATAATAAGTCAGTCATACATACATAATAAATATATTGTTATCTAGACACACACACATCTATATTTACACTATATATTATACACTACCTATCTATCTATCTATCTATCTATATGTACGTGCACACACTGTGTTTGTGTATCCATGTGTGTTTGTAGGAGCACACACACACATACACACTTGCATGTTTCTGTACTATGCCCATATGTTTTCTCAAGGAATACCCACACAAACCACAAAACCTTGTAGCCTTATTGCTAGTCTGTGTCCATTTGTGTTCTACAATCAAACCAGAGTTGTTGTTCTCCATAAGCTTTGCTTATTTATGTTCTTTACTGAGGGCCTCATAATATGAGGCCTTTCCCCCCCATCCACCTTGGCTCTTGCACGCTTTCCCTCACATTTAGTTTTTACTTGTCAATAGGACAAGTCAATAGTTTCATCAGGAGCATATGGGCACTGCACAGGTTATGTATGTTCCTAATAAGCCAGCTAGCTAAATAAGATAGCATTAGCCCTTATCCCTGGACTGATACTTGCTTTAATTGCAGTGTTGCAGCAGCACTTGCACAGCTTTCCACAAGTACATGCAGCATTAATTACATACAGGCTTTCCCTGACCACAGCCGTGCACCCTGTTTGGGTAGATGACAGAGTGTTTCATGCTATGCTTAAAGCTGCAGCTTACTTCCATCCCAATGCTTCCTGGATCCACATGCCCCTTTTTGGCCCGAGCCTCTTGAGACTGACATTTTTCTGCACGCAATCCTAATGGAGGACAGAGCATGTGTCCAAAATGCAGCCGTGCCTCCCGCACCTTGACAGCTCTCCCTGGCTTGCCCTGACCTGCGATGCTGATGACAGATAGTGCACACCCGTGCCCCTCTTCCTCCTTCCCTGGGCAGGGCAAGTCCTCCCCGGTCTCCTTCCCCCCTCCTCCATCCCACACCAGAGTGGTCTTGGGGCTGCCCCAAGTGCACGGTACCTGCCCTCGCCTGCTGACACAGCTCCCCTCTGCCCGCAGTGTCCACCCAGCCCGTCAGCGAGGAGACCATCCGCTCAGAGCTGCTGATCCCGGCGGCACGGCCAGCGGACGCCGGCAACTACACCTGCACTGCTGCCAACTTCTTGGGCAACACCTCGGTGGCCATCACCCTTCGTGTGGGCATCCCGTGGGCACCCCCCACCCCCCGGGGCTGGGCTCCCATTGCCCCTGCTGAGCCGAGCGCCCACGTCGAAGTGCGCATCGCCAAGCAGACGGTCTACGGCATCACCCTGGAGTGGTTTGCGGCGGCAGCGGCGGCAGCGGAGCCGGGGGAGACCTGGTACACCCTCCTGGTGGGCCGCTACGACGCCGCCCAGAAGGATGTCATCTACATCGGCCCCGGCGTCAACACCTACTCAGTGACTGACCTGCTGCCCGCCACCAAGTACGAGGTCTGCGTGGCCGTGCGCAACCAGGCGCCCCGCAAGGGCCAGTGCGTCGTGTTTGTCACGGGCAGCGACATCAGCCAGCTGGAGCAGCGCGAGAAGCTCATCCACATCGTGGTCATCATCTGCGCCATGGTGCTGGCCGTGCCCGCCGGCATGTACGCCTGCACGGCCGAGGCCCGCTGCCCCGGCGCCTGCCCCCGCCGCCGCCACGGGGGCCAAGCAGAGGCCGCCGGCAGCAAGGAGAGCACGCTGGACAGCCTGCCCGCCGGCAGCGAGGAACAGCTCTGCCACCCCGGAGGCAGCTGCGGCGCCCGGCAGTCCCCAGCCCACGAGGAGCCCGGCAAGACCCGGCCACCCCACAGGAACAGCGCTGACCTCTACTAGCCCGGCCCCGCTTGCCCTGCGACCGTGGCTGCGGCAGCGACTTGTACAGATGACCTTGAGCTGCAGCACATGCTGGTTTTCTCGAAGGACCACGCAAGGAACGGGCTGTGCTTCGAGGACTCGGGGCACGACAGAGCGTCTGGCTGGGATTCACAGCAGGCTTGGGGAGCCCAGGGAATGGGGGTGTCCGGGGTGTGCGGCCACGTCTGTGCCCCCTCAGCCCCAGGCTGCCTCCGCAGCACTGTCACGGAGCAACACCCACAGACACGCAAGAAAACAAGCATTAACAAAAAAAAAAACCAAAAACAAAACAACAAACCCAAACCCAATAGCAAGGCATGTGGCAAAAGGCCAAAGGTCTCCCTTTGCTCACTGGCACGGGCGGGTCTTTATTTCTTTCTTTACTTTTCCCAGCCCCGGGGTGGGTGCGGGGGCCTGTTGACAGCTCTGCTCTGTGTCGGTGCCGGCTGCTCCCGTGTGCTGCCTCACAGAAACAGAAGTGGGGAGCCCCGGCAGGACTGTGGTCATAACTGGCAATCAAACGTAGGGGAGAAAGGTTGGGTCAATATGATGGAGCTATTTTGTTTCACTTGAAGAAAAATTTTATTTCTGGATCAGGAGTGTTGGTTTTGTGGGGTGGGGATGTTTTTTTGTTTGCTTTGTTTGTTTTGCTTTGTTTTGATGCTTTTTTTTCTTACTCCTCCTTAAGGTTTACACAGCCCTAAGAGGTTCACAGCCTCAGTGGTACCACAAACAGAAGAACTGTGAGTGCTTACTGAACACCAGCGTAATGTAGCCACAGCACAGGGTTTCAGAGTTTTTTGAGCTGTTTTGCTTTTTGTTTTTGTTTTTTTTTTTTGTACTAGGGAGAAGGGGAGGGCCTTTTACTTGTGTCCAAACATAACTTGGAGGACCACTTTAGTTCCACTCTAACATCTTCCCCTTCCCATGCCCCACCATGGTGAAAAATGAACAGGTTTTTTTTTTGCAGGCAGACACTCAACTGCTGTTTCCCCCTCCGCTCTCCCCACCACTTGTCTCCTTTTGCCCAGGATGGGGCTGTGACTGCGGGGTGATGCAGGGAGTGATGGGGATGCTGGGCCTGAACCGGGCTGGCAGGACAGGTGGCCAGGGGCAGAGAGGGTGGTGGAGGCAGGGTTTGGGGGGCTGAAGGTACAAGCCAGGCACCTTCCCCAAATGCAAACAGGCCCCGTGCCCATCCTGCTGCTTTGAAACAAAAGCTTGCCTTCTTCTTGGAGGCAACCACCCTTCAGTCCTCCCCCAAATATGCACGTAAAATCAGCCAGCCCCCGCTCGCAGAGCAGCTCACATTGCATTTCTGGGGAGGTCTGAGGACATGTGACTTATTTTTTTATTTATTGGCCTCGTGCTTTCCAGCACAACTGAAGGACATGGCCAATAGACCCACTGCCCTTGTCATACATGTTGTTATAGACTGCCTCAGAAAGAAAAATACTAGAGTAGAAAACTCACCTGTAAGCCAAGAAGCCTAATGTGAGCTTCACTACATGGTGGTCTGGCTTTCTAGTTGTATCTTGGTTTTTGCTGTGTGTTTTCTACACTGTCTTTGCTCCGGCTCTACCTTTCCTCCCCCAGCACGTCCTTCTGCTGTAAGTTACTGTGCAGCTTTTGAAGAGACCCGTTTGGTCAGTGCTGACTCGGTGTTACACTTTAAGGCACTTCCTATTCTTGTCAGTCTTTTAGCATCAAAATAATAAACACACTGGATTTTCAGAATACGCAGAGGTCCTCTGCTTCATTTCTATTCTTTTACAGTTACAAATTGCAAGGAAACCTGAATGCCAAGGAGCTCTGCGGTTCAGCTGCAGCGATTGGGGAGGTTTCAGCACGTGTGACAGGGGGTCTAGAGCGGTGAAGACAGGGCAGAAGCAGCTGGCCAAGTGGGGACACAACCTTGTCCTGGAGAAACCCCTGGGGAGATGGTGCGTATGGGGTCAGGCGTGAGCTACTGCTGGTTGAGGACCAGCATGGGGCTGTGTACAAGAGGGAGTGAAAAACAAACCAGTGCCTGTAATGACTGGGGCTTCTCCCACCCCAGTCAACACAGAGGAACCATGGCAAACTGTAGAGACTGTGGAGAGAGCTGTGGAAGCAGTGAGGAAACAACCAGGGAAAGACAAAACACCCCATCGCTGTGTGTAGGAAGGACATAATACCCAGTGAGCACTGGTATCAAACCAAACCTGCTGCCTCACAGGGAGCCTTCCTGCCCCCGGGGCCATGCCGCAGTGGGCTGCAGAGAACAACAGGGCTTGGCTGTGGACCCTGCCTGTCCCGTCTGCCCCACGGCATCCCACTTCTCACCTCCTCTTCTTCCAGGACGGTGTTGCCCCAAAACCCCACAGCCCCTCTTCTGACTTGCAGCCCACAAAAGGGGCCATTCGGTTGTCCTAGAAAGGCATCTGGCTGCCTGTGCCCATGTGGTCACATAACAAGCAATGACAAGGCATCATTCCCAGCAGAAGCACACCATGCACAGAAACACCTTTTGCAGGCTTTTTTTTATTTATTAAAAAAACCCCTGCAGTTGGAAATACAGAGTAACCGGAAAAAATCTCACAACATAGTAATAAAACACCTTTATTCCCTCTTAAATATAATCTCTAAGACTATAAGCCTATAATTCCCATTAAAGCTCACTTAATTGAATGGTCTTTATAGGCTTTCTTCTTTGGAGAATAAACATTGAATACTGGCTTCAACACAACATCAGGAAAACAATAGTACGGGGAATAAATCATGAACTTTTGGTACCTCAGGAAAGGTTTCAGAACCTGGAGGAGTCACAATCAGCAGAAGGTGTGTGCTTGCGCAGGGCAGTGGGAGTGGGGCTGGGGGCTGCACGGTCCCCTTGTCCCACTGGCTCAGAGCCGGAGGACAGGGATGAGGTGACCACACAGAATGCGAGAGCCTGGGCCTCACACCACAGAGCCCCCGGAGGAGGGATAAGCAAGAAAACAGTGAAGGAAATGAGAGACGTGTCAGGAGAGGCTCTGGGGTCAGGGCTGCTGCCACAGCCCCCAGCTGGGACCCTGCTGCACCTCTTGGCTACAGCTCCTGGCTCAGCCAAGAGCCATGGGTGACAGGAGCCATGGTCACCTTCTGGCTTCTAGGTGGATTGAACTGAAGTTAAAAAATACAGGATTTCCCCTGTAAGTGGGTAACTTCTTGTCTGACCAGCTAGCCACTAAGCTCATGAAGTCCTGGTACAAACAAAGGGAATTAGACCAGCTAGTGGGGTGAAGAGGAGCCCCTGAGGGCCAGGTCTGCTGGTCCAGCTGAAATGACAGCTGGAGGAGTCTCATGAACCCCTTGAATTAACAGAGTGTCCCATCCTGTAGAGTTTGCTCCCTGTCACCATGTTCGTGGTGCCAATCCATGACAGCACAGCTGCCCTGCGGGGCCGGGGCTCAGGCAGAGGGTGCAGGGTGCTGCTCCCCGGCCAGCCTGGTGCACCCTGCCTTCTCCCCAAGGGATGGGAAACAGCAAGGCCCAGCTGAAATACATCTCCTCAGAAACAAACATGAGGGAGAAACTGTGGGGTAGGTCCGGTGAAAAAAAGTGCCCTGCCTTCAGTGCCTTTTCACTGCCACGTAACAGGGAAAAAGTGTCAGCTGCCCCCCCATCTCCCCAACCTGGCCCTCCCCCCATTAACTGTTGCATAATTCACTCAAAAATACTGATAAGACAAACTAGAATATTTTATGGAAACCTTCTTTTGCACTGACCAGTCCCTGAAGCAAGCCAGGAGAAGTGATGAAATACATTCCCCGGCACCTCCTGCTAACTAACAGTGTACAAAACCAAATGATCTTTCCAGACAATTCCCTGGCTGACACGTGCGACTTTCCAGCACTGGTCTATATTTTTCATTTATCCTTTTTCTCTTGGTTTTACCTTGTCTTCCCTGACGCCTTAATCATGGCCTTGTCCTGCCGGCCTCCTCCCTGCTAGAGGATGCGGTGTCAGAAGGAGGCAGCACTGACAGAGCGTTGCTGTTGAACTGCGCTGGAATCTTGCCCCAGCGGGTGGAGGGGAGGCTGGGCTGGCGTTCCCATCCCCTGATTAGCTGGCAAGTGCACGGCAGAAGCAAAGCGCAGCATCATGTCAATGTACTCTGGCAAAACCCAGCATAAGCTGCAGGAAATGAAGAAGTTCTCCAAGCCTGCCTGCTTACCTTTTGGGAATGAAGGTACTCAGGCCGTTAGCACACCGCTCCGCCGGCTGTTGCAGAGTCCCTGGCGCCCTGAGGCCTGCAGGTACCGGCTACGCGCCGCCCTCTTGCCGTGTGCGGTGTCGCTGCCATAGGAGACCTGCACATGGACCCAGTGCTGGTGCCACAGCCAGGCCAACGTCTTCAAAAGCGGGTCTGGGATTTGAGATGGCGGGTTTTTGGGCGCCTCAAACCCGTCCGCCAGACCAGGTCAGAAGTGGCACCCTCCAGTGCCTTGGCTGCAGAACGTCTTGTTTGAAAACCAGGATTTGGGGTTGGCACCTCCAAAATGGAGGCAACCCGAATCCCCGCTCACCTGGGGAGACTGTGGCTGGTGTGAGGTACTCAGCACCCCGGTCAGACAGCTGCAGGGAGGGACCAGCACTGGCACACGAGCCGAAGGAACTGCAGTTGCAACTGGGCATGGACCGCAGCGTTTGCTATGGGTGGGGTGACTCCGTAGCACGTAACACTTGCAGAAGGTGAGGGGTGGCTATCACAGCAAGAATCTGCTCTCTGTTCACGGGGTGCTGACAGACACGGGGAAGACCACAGCGCATAACTAGTTCCATGCGCAGCCACAATCCGCGGTCTCTGGGGGCTGCCAGGAGCACCTAGATGTGGGGCTCACCGATAGCTGCGTTCCTCTTCTCGAACTTCATTTTGAGCTCTGACACGAGGGCGTTGTGGGCGCTGCCATGACCTCTCTTCTTCAGCTGTTTGTTTATAAACTTGGGAGTGATGGAGCCAGACACGGTAGGCACCCTCCACCCTGGGGTGTCCGCGCGGGGAGCCAGGGTGGGGGGCGGCGGGGGCAAGGGGGCGGTCGGCAGCACGGAGGCAACCTGGATGTTGTTGTTGCTGTTCTCGTTGTGCAGGCTCTTGTTATCGTCCTCCACAACAAACTTCGCAGCGTTGCTGGGCCTCCTGAACTTCAGCCACTCCATCCTGAGTGTCCGGGACTGTGGAACGTGTCTCTTTTTTATGATCTTTCTTACCGGTATGATTTTGTTGGACCGCTTGTTGCGCCAGAACATGGCAGTAGAGATCATGATAGTTATCAGCACCATTACGCCCATGACACCAGCTAACACTCCTAAGGCTTTCATGGGGTTATCTTTAGTTTGCATCAAAAAGGCGGCCATAGGCCCTTTGTGAAGAGTCTGTAAAAGAGTACAAAGAAAACACGTGACTTACTCTACGGGACAGACAATGACCCAGAAATTTCATTTGTCCAAAATATGTAACAAGCAGGGCTGACTAATGGAAGTTGTCTCTAAAAAACAAAACAAAAAAAAGCGTCAAAGAACCAGTCCAGGCTTGGAGAATTTAGATGGAGCAGGAGACTGGGCAAGAATTACAGTATTGTGAGATGGCTGACTGTCGAACACGAAAGCTTACGGGAGTATGACTGCCAAATTAGGACAGATTCCTGCATGTCACCATAGCATTTGTTTAACTTGCAAGAACTGAGCAAGAAAATAATTGGCTCTGGGATCTACAGCTGTATTGTTATACTACATTTCAGAGTTAATTTCCTAGGAATAATAGTGTTGAACCTAAACAGAAGTTTATGAGTGGAAAATGATCTTTCAAAAACAGTTGCAGGCGATTATGGTGATGCAGTTTATAGGACTATTACCGAGCATGGCATTGAAAAGATTATGGGAAAACTTCACTTTATAAAATTACAGTGTACAAATGAGTAGTTAGCAGGTATGTGCTGCATTCTGTTTTCAAGTACTCTTTTACAGACATAACAAAACTCTTTGAGGTGGGGGAGATGAGTAGAGCTAAAGGGCTTTGTTTTTAGAAATAAAAGAAATAAACAATAACTTAAGCTACATATGGCATATTAAGGACAAATGAACAGCCAGTTGACTTTGCAGCTTAGTGTGCTGTGCGTTTCGGAGGTCGCCGTTTAATTTTGCAGATTTTGCCCTGTGGGTGGAGCCTGGATCTTTTCACACTTTTCCAGTACATGATGGTGGAGATCACCATAGTTACAGAAATGGTGGAAAGGATGCCACTCATGCAAATTCCAAATATTGTCCATGGATGCTTCTTGAGGCCTAAAATATAGGATTTTACCCTGGACTTGATCTGGAAATATCAAAAATAAGAGAAATGGTCAACCCTCACATGGATATATTTGAAAGAGGCCAGTATCTATTATAAATACAGATAGGGAACTAGGGTGAAATGTGTACAGGATAGAAAACATATAAAATAAAGGGAGCTAAGTGTTGAACAAGGCACAAGAGAGGAGACAGTTGCAGTGACATTGAACTGAATCCAGAAACACTAAAAGAAATTAGGAAGCAGGTATAAACACCTGGTTGATCAGGGAGTAAAGGGTAGCAGCACAGCACATAGATCACCCTTATTCCTGGCACGGTGGTCCACCCTTGGACTACATTTCCAAGATAAGTTCATAATGAACACAACCTTCTGCAATGGTATCTGGACAGACAATAGTGTTGTGCAAAGCCTTCAGAAATGATCCTTCAGAAATGGCACGTTCATGAGCAGGTTTGTTTACCAAGGGCTGATCATAAAGCCACCTGCAGCTGCGGAGAGACAGGGCTACCTGTTGTGCCCCACTCCTCTGGCCTCGGCTCCAGGAGGGAATCATCACCCAAACAGGTCGTCTGCATTTTAGTTAGCGGTCTAAGCTCCCAGCTTAGTCACCACATGCTAAAATAGGTATCAAAGATAGTAAATATAAGGAGAGTCTTGTGACTAGCTTGGGCTTGAACCTCTGACTTTTAGACGTTTCAGGTGAGATCAGATGGATTTCCCTGTATGACTCTAAACTAGGATGCTCATCTCTTTACCCTCCCCAGTCTGTGGAGGGAGATGACTGAGAGTATCCCCAAAGGATGCTTCAGAGTATCCTTGTCGTGTATTACACAGGAACACTATTTTTAAACCACATCCCTAAACTTAGAGAATGTAAATTCATTAATAAACACCCCATTGCCTTCACTTCACTTCTGTATTTTGACAACCTATCTTAAACAAATTATCCAAGCCTACTCTTCCCCTGCCTTGAATGTTCCTATTGCCAAAGAGAACTGGGTGAAGAAATGCCACTGAAACTCATAGACCATGTTACTTTACCGCTAATGGCCAACTGTCATCATTTTGTTGTGCAGAGTTTTTCCATTACTTAATTAGGAATGGACCTCAAGAGCAGAGCAGCCAATGACTTTGGCGGAGCTTGGTTTCACATCAGCTTTACTGTTCTGCAATACATGGATTTTGTGTGATTAAATCCCATCAGATGACAGAAATTCTACCCTGGCTTACTTAACTTCATGTGAAATTCTGACAAATTAAGTGTCAGATAAACCCTGCTAAGTAGTACATGACCTGAACTGAGTCCACTCATTATGAGTGTTGTCAAGATCTATTTTGTAGTGAGGTACGGATGGCTAAATAATATAGGATCAACACAAGGAGAAGGATGACATATACTTAAGAAGATACTATATCTCAGTAATAATTATTTGACCAGCTATTTGAAAACCTTGAATAAATGGGATTAGATAGAAGTATTTGTTTATGTTGCCAGTATACCACAGTTGCAGAGCTAAAACCTGATGGAAATCTTATGGGGAGTTTCAGAATTTGGCTTTGTTCAACTCCCCCTTGTCTCCAAATTTGGCACCTGTTCAGAGCTTCCAGTTATGAAGAAGTGATTAATAGCAAAACCAAAACCATGAATAGTTAGCTGATTCAGCCTGTATTCTAGTTACTGAGCCTGTATTATACAGAGCTTTGCTTAGAATTAGCCTTGGATAACAACTCTTCTCTAATGTCTGCATAAAAACATAAAGCATTTTCTAAGCATACAGTGGGAGAATTTCTGTTTGTTGCGGCCATATCGCTCACAGAATAAACAGGAGAAATAACTTGCAAACTAAACCTGGAATGTCATCTTCTTAGCCAGCCTGCAGGAGGCTCATGGTAAGTGCATTTGTCACCAAAAAGCTTTACAATCTTGCCTGTGTCATCACCGTGGCCCAGTCAGTCAACACACAGGACAGGTGTGAGAGAAGTATGAGCACCCTCTGACAGTGGAAGTCTGGGAGCACTTGGACACCAGAGTTTAAGCAGTTTGGCCTTGAGCACTCCCCTGCATGTTCAGAACACCTTCTAGTCCACTACTGATAGTGCCTCAGAAGTGGGTCAATAGTGCTACTTTGTAATTTATGGAGCTGTTTTTTTTTTTCCTAATTTTGAAGAATACTGATTTTTCTTGTGGGCATAATACAAAAGCAGATACACAATGAAATGAGAGCTGGTATGGGAAGCACTATCATACGTGTGTGGGCCAAAACCTGGAAGAAACGCTTTTTCTTAATACACATCAAAGGAGTTAAAATGCCACTGCTCACAAAAGAGAATGCTCTGCTGCTTTTTTGCCGTGACTTCACAGTTACAATGAGCACTGACCCAGAGGAGGGTTGAGGACAATTAGAGGGTTCCAGAACCATGGCAGAATTTTGTAAGTAGCTAAGCAGTTCATATCGGCTTTGAGAAAGAAGTCCAATCCTGGGACAAAAATACAATTAAAAAAATTAAATCAACTGTTTGGATTGAAAGAGGTCATCATGTATTTTTTATTTAATGGGCACTTGCAGAACCCTTGTGACTGTCTGTCCCCTGCAGAGAAGCTCCTCGGCCCAAGTCCTGCGGGCTCTAACATTGACAAGTGCATTTGAAGGTGGTTCCGTAAGACCCAGCACTGTTCAGTGTAAGTGTAGACAGATGCTTTCAGGCTGTGTACCTGAATGGCAGGCTGCCAAAAACACCCCTCCGCAGCATGTGGGGCTTATTCTTGCCATCCTTCATCCACAGTGGCTTCTTCCTCAAAAATCTGTGTTTTCCAAAGAGGATGCCCCTGTCTCTCATTGTTACTGAAATGGTGACTCATGCCCTTTGTTTTTCTCTCTCCTGCCACAATAGTTTGCAGTGTGCAGACATCCATACCTCCTGGCAGCTTCTCAAGAGCCTTTCATAATCCATGGGCTGCTGTGAGCAGAACAAGTGGTCAATGTATCCAGAAGTTGGACCCAACAGGAGCGTGTGGCTGAGCTGTTCAACCATGAGGCTGGCTAGGGCTCACCAGCTATATTTAGAAGCCTAAGTAAGTAGGCGAAGCTGTTAAGAGCCCAAGATATCGCAGATTATATACAACACAGGCTGTGTTGACTTGAGCAAGTGGATCTGTACAATGAACCAGCTGGTTCTGAGGACCCCACTTTCACATATTCAGCATTTCTGGGCTTTTGCTTTGGATTTCTCTAGTCTGGTTGCAGGGACGGACTGCCTGCTAGTGCCAAAGCACACTAGGTGGTCTCCCCAAACACATTTCTATCTGAAAGGAGTCTACTTTGGGTTCTTGGAGCTGAGACATGAGCCATCCCGCAGCATGGGGGGATGATCACAAGATTTGCTTCGGAAGTAACTCTTGATCTGAGGTAGAACAGTGCTTATCAGTTCTATCACTGCATATGAAGGCTGCATTTACATCACTTTGCAATACAAATGCCAGCATGGGGCAAGACTTCTCAAATCAAACCAACCTTCTCCAAGCAATTTTTTTCAAGGTCCAGGTAACTGTGGAAGGAAGAGGCTAATTGCTCTGCAAATATGGCAAAGGATGTTTAGTGCCATCAGCAACCACAGCTCTCCTGGTTGCAGAGTTAGTATGAGAGAGAAGAAGATATCCACATTAATTCATAGAAGATATTTGTTGAACCTTTCAATTAGGACAATCTGAAACTGAGACTTGCCACCTATATTTAGAAGTCTGAGTGGCCAAAGCTATTAAGAACCGCAAATTATGCTGTCTAAATGTGGACTTGAAGTCCATGAAGAGGTGTAAATAAACACTCCCAGATATTTGCAGAACCTTCAGTGGAGTCATGAAAAGTCAGAGGGACCCACCCAACAGGCCATGAATCAGCTTTCCATTAAAATCTTGGGCAGCAGAAGTAGACTTTTGAGTGAGACATGAAGGTGAAAAAAGAGCAGTGTTTCCAGCATATGTTTCTTATTCTGTTGAGAGAGGGTAGGAGATTAACAGATGCTCCTCAATACCAATTTCCATAACCCCAGACTCAGTTAAATTAAAAGGCCTCTGGAATTTTTTATCACTGTATTATTCCAAGAGCAAAAGGTCCTTTTGATGTGCAATACTGCTGAACTTAGCCACACGGCATCTATCTCGAAGGGCATAGCCTTGCGCTAATTGCAGTGGTAAATGTTAATCAGAAAATATGCTTGTTTAATTACTTAGTGTGATTAACACTGCAGGAAACCTCTAGAGGATGCATTCAAAAATATCCTCCTTATCCAAAATCAGTAATACATAAATGCCCACCAAACAGCTAACTAAAAGAGACTTTGTACAGCTGGAGCTCAGAGGGATGAAATGTACATTTGTAACAGCCTCTGAGAGAGAGAGAGTATGTGTGTGAACACAACATCCCTGTACCAAGAGACTGTTTTCTTCACGGAGTGTTAGCTGTGACTGTGCTGTCTCTGGCGTCTGGGGAGTGACCAAGGGCTTTGTACACTGGTACTGCATCTCACTCACAGGCAAGCTGAAATTGGAGAATGATTTTTGCAAGGAGATGTGATGCTCTTGGATAAAAACAAAACAAAACAAAACCAAACCAAACCAAACAAAAAACTGACATTACTGCAAGCAATGGAAGACGTAATGGAGAAATGTACAAAAGTTTATGGAGGATGTGACATCAGATTAGTAATGCAGATCCTGCTGAAGAGACCTACTCAAGTGAAGAAAGATGATGCTGTTGCTATCTCAGGCTCTGTGTTGGGAATTGGCATCTAGAAGAGCAGGGGAAGAAAGGAAAAACTGTGTCTGAGAAGAATCCATGTCTTCACAGCCCACTCTGCATCCCTTTTAGACTTTTATCAGGAGGGGCATGCCTTCTCTTTGTGCCAAATCTGTACCCCTGGAGCGGGAGAAAGGAAGCAGAGAGGGGACTTTGTACAAGACACCTTCTTTCATCATGTTGACGTTGCTTCAAGCACTAAAAGGAAATCCAGGAAACTTTATCCCAAAGCATCAGCTGCTTTTGTTTTCCATCCAGACGTCCTTCACCAGCGGGTTCAGGGACACACCTTGACCCCCAGCAGAGGAGGTGTGGAGTGCCCTCCCTCCCCTTGACACCCCTCAGCCCTGTACCCCAGCCCCGCACGCTGACAGGGAGGTTACCAGCGCATCCGGGAGGGGAGAGAAAGCTGGAGCCTACACGTTGGAGGCTGACAGTGGGGACAGTGCCTGAGGCCAGCCAGTGCCACACACTCCTGGAATGTGCACCCTGTGAGAAGCCTGGAAGCGGGGCAGGGAGGGCGGGTGCTCCCACTGTGGGCTGAATATGTAGACTTATCACAGGCCTGAGTCTTCTGGCAGTCCTGGTGGGGCAGGGGCTGACAGCAGGGACCAGGAGTGGCTCCTGTGCTACCAGTGGCTGAGTTTGCCTTGCTGGTGCACAGAAGTGTTCTCTGCAGACACCGTTTAGCTTGCAGCAGGCTCTGAACCGTATACAAGAAGTATCATATAAATGCACCTGATAAGGAGTATCAGTGGAATAAGAGGAGGTGGAAAAACCAGAGAAAGACTGTAACAGATAAAGGAGCGGTGGGTGCATTTTGGCCAAAGAGAAGGCCAGCTGCTGTCTGTAGGAAGAGATTTGCATCTTTGCCCAGTATGTGTGTGGTCCAGAGACTGTCAGGCTAATGATGTGTTTCTCATCTACTTTAAAGCCCATTTCCTCCCCGCTGGTACCTACTTAAAGGCATAGCAAGGCAGTTAGAATAAATAAGAATCATGCAAGCATGCTCTGCTCACCATAAATTGCTACTTGTTCTTTGGTTGACGTAAAAGTTGGAACTAACGGGAAACTCTCAACCTATTTGTGCGCTATATTTTAGAGTTTCTTGGTTCATCTGCTAATAATACTCCAATTATTAAGCTCACATCCAAAATTCTATGTACTTTAAAGCATTCCTGTAAAGTTTGCTCACTTTTCCTATGTAACTTATGTTGACTTGCAAAACTGTTCTGATGTATTTCACTCCGGCCCCAGCTACTTCTCACTTACTTTTTGTAGGGGAAAAAGATTGTTTTCTCCTCCTGAATGAAACAAGAGAGCAGAACCTTAGCAGTCAGGATTTACCTTTACTCTCAGGAGTCTATAGTCCTTAATTTGCATCTGTCTCTAACAATCAGACGCAAGAAATACATGTCCCAATTACATTATGCTCCTACCTTTGTGGCTTTGCAATTTCTCTGACCAAAATGTCTTTTAAATTTGTGGCTGTAAAATCCAGCTTCACCACAAGGGTCTCAAAAAACTCTACAAAAGAGAGCTAGCAAGAAAGGAGAAGCAATGGCTGGCAACATTTTGGCTGCTGATTTCAACTCCTGAAGCATTTTTAAAGTAATCTTAGAAATGGAACAAGCAGTGACAACTCTTTGGTGTCTCTCAAGGATCACCTCACATAAAAATTTTTCTAAAGGATTTGCTTACCTCCTCTGTGATATCAATCTTCAGAACTGCCGTGGTACTGAAGGATGGGGAGCCTCGGTCTTTGGCCTGCACCACCAATGACCATATGCAGTCTTTGTTCTTTGTGATGTTGTGGATGATGTCCAGGGAACGGATATAGGATTTCAGCTTGATTTCCCCAGTACTTTGGTCTATATCAAACACATTGGCTGGATCTGCTTGCATGATGGAATAATCCACAATGTTGTTGGGTTCTTCTGCATCTTGATCTACAGCCTGGTAGGGGCAGTGTAAAGAACAAAGATGTTATTGTTTGTATCTTTGCCTGAAGACAAAATGAAAAGTTTCTGAGCATTCACTTCTGATAATATCCATGCTGTGTGATGACTGGGCTGTTTTTGTTTCATCTTGGAAACAATTTCCCCTTTTCTGGTATCAGCTATGCTACATTTTCTAGTGAAAACCAGCAGGACTAGAGCTCTTTTTGTATAAGCGATTTCTATTTGAGATTAAATAAAATCAGAATAAAACTAAACCATAACCTATCTGTAGAATGCAAATGACCCACTGCTAGGGAGGTTCTCATACAGTGCAGGGGACAAATGTGAAGTGTTAGAGATCAAAGGGATTAGTTCCACACTGAACTGTAGCTGCCTTAATTTTTTGTACTGTGATACTTATTCCAATAACATTAGGTGCTGTGTAATTAGGTTTCATTATATGCATTCAAATATGTGTAACATAGGATGTTCTGCCTGTGAATTGTTATTGCTTTTTTTTCAACCTCCTATTCCGTACTGGATCAATGAATACAATTCTGCAAAGCAAAGGGAAAGATGTGTGGTTGAGCACAAAGGCATGGCAGAAAGGTTAAGTATTCAAAACCTTGTACTTTCGTTCACTCATCTTATTTGGGCTTCTTGTGATCACCGTATAATACAGGATCCTCCACCAGCTGATGGTTCAAATACTGTAAGAGAACTTTATCTTTTGCCTATAGAATTTATTTCTCCTTCTCTGAAGTCTGTAAATACTATGATTCCACGCTTTAATCCATTTGCTGCGTACAAATGGATGTGCAAAGTAAAGCCCCAGGAAAAGCCAACTTTCAGACATTCATCATGATCCCTGAGCATTAAAGAGCAGAGCAGGGGCTTTTCCAAAGCACTCTGCTTTGTGACACACTGTGTCATCTCTCACCTCTATCTTCACCGGTGACCCGATGATCATCGTCTTTTCCTGGATGTTTTCATTGAACTCTGGAGAGTGGTCATTGACATCTAGCACAGTAATAAACACTTCAGCCAAGCTGTATTTCCCATCTGTGTCCTCTGCCTTCACATAGAAATTATACTTTGAGTTCACTTCAGCATCTAATATGGCCCAGGGCTGAGTGTAAATTATACCTGTTGATGGGTGGATTAGAAACCTGGAAAAGAAGCATGGAAAGACTTTTGGGTTTTTTGGCCACTTAATGTGTGTTTACAGCCTGGGGCAAAGGTGGGCTCTAAACATTGAAATGCTGTGCCCAAAGATAGGTACTCTTCACCTAGCTTCTGTCTGGCTGATGATTCCAAATAATTCACTCTACCTATTTTTGGCTAGTTCCTTTAGGCTTGAAAACCAGAGAACTATTGGTGTCTGGTGTTTTTCTATCTATTGCACATTAGCCATTTTAGCTGCATTTTCTGTTAAAGTCTTTGTCCTCAGTAAATTCTCAGTGTGATGGCCTTCTCCCAGAGTGATTTCTTTGCATTAAAACATTAAGGAACTGCCATTTTTTTTTTTTTTCAGTTTCTAAGTACAATGTATTAGATCATGTCCTGCATAAATTAAGATTGATTGATATCACCTCAATAGCTAAGGGAAGCATGCTGCATATCATATTTAAGCTCTTTACTTCTCAGAATGGGTAAGAAAAATGGCTGCTCTCAAATCCCCCAGAGTGCAGGGCAAATTATCTCCTCCAAAAATAATCACTTTTCCATAGACTGGCACTGGGATGGAGTGGGTGTTCAAATTTATCTGTAGCAAGTTCAATTCTACCCATTTGTAATTACTGAGACATTGTCAAAAGTGTCAGCCAAAAGCTTGGATTTATAGAGAAGATACCAACAGAGAGTGTCTTTTTAAAATGAACTGCCAGTGTAGGCTCCAAATGGTAGGGTTTTTAACAGAAGAATCCTTTTCATATATCCTTTAATTAATGTACAGGATAACATAATGTTTTCTATATTCCACCTGTAAACACAATTAAAAGCGATTATAAAAGGGGCACTTATTAATCCAGAATCTTCAATTGTTTTCATTACCCTGTTAAATACAAATACAAGTCTTGATGAAAGCCAAGACCCGGAGGTGGCAAGAGCTGTGCAAATTCTGGGTAGGAGACAGTGCCAGTGCTGATTGCCTCCTTAGCACCCAATCCAGCCTAACCATGCAGAGAAGACTCAGCACACCCATTTTAGTGGAAGAATAGAAGCACTAAGATGTGAATAGATTACAACAGTGCACCCCACTCCCACTGGCAGCTTGGATGTAGGATTACCAGCATAATGGTTTTATCTTCAACAGTTAACATTATTCCTCTTACTCCAGTACAACTCGTCTTTCTGCCAACGCAACTGCATAACCACTGATGTAACCCCTGAGAGAAAAAATCATGCCTCTAATTGAATCTCTCAAATCTGCATCAAACTGTGTGTTCAGCAGATCTGGAGGTCCCAGGGCTGGGGAATCAATATACCCTTGCAGAGCTATGCCATTCTGGCACAAGGAAAGAAAAAAAAAAAAAAAAAACCAAAAAAAAAACCACCTTAAGAAGGGAGAAAAAAGTCTTCACATCTTAATTTCCTCATTCAACAGCATAAGAACAGTGAGTCTGAGTGTCCCCATAGCTCCAATGAGAATAAAGTTATACTCATATTTTTAATAAATCCTTCATCAACAACCTTTACAAGCTTCTTTGTACCCACTGCTACATTTTAAACCTAAGAGTTCTGCCTGCATGACATGACCTTTGCCTGCTTGCCTCTATGCAGTTAGCAGCTAGCTTAAGGATTTAGTGAAGAGCTCAAAATAATCCATCCTGGAAATGCTCCCGTATGTGTATCCTTCTGGCTACAGAAAAGGTTTGCCCTTAACATCTTGGATTTTGGACTTTGTGCCTTCTAAACGGCTTTCACCTTAACAAGAAGAGTTCAGCTTTAACTCCAGGTGGATAATGTACAGAGAAAAATGGATTCTGGGGATGAATGCTTGAAAAGCTCATTCACTTCTAATACTCTGCCCTGCATCCCCACCATGTCCAGGAGCTGCAGGTTCCAGCAGCAATATCTGTGATGGCCAGTGATGTAGACATGGCTGGGAGTCCCGACCAAGGGGCCAGGGCCACTGGTGGCATGGAAACAGTGTGGGAGAAACCAGTGTTTCAGGATGTTCTTACCCCAGCACTGTCCCCATCGACAGGGTAAGGGAGCTAGGCATCATTACAAAATCAAGTAAGCATCTGATTCCCTTCTTCCCTGAAGCAGGACTACTAGGTTTAAATATATAAAATGCTTTGAGCACCCGATGCAGCTGGCCTCCAAAGCTAAAGTTTATATTCTTTAAAGTCTTGTCTTTGATTTATTTGGACAAGAGTTGAAACTGATGTATTTGCACAGCTATGTGAAAAAGGAAGGGGAAAGAGCAAGGGATTTTTTATTTTCCCTCCAGAATTGACTTTTCACAACAACTAGCCCAAAACCCTCTTTCTCTTATGAGCATTTTTCAAACGGTGCTTGAACAGATCCTGTGTATTTGTACTTCAGCTGCCTTATGTCTCTTTGGAGGTTTGTGGGTAAAATTCCATGGGTTCATGAAGCAGATGTTTAATGATAAAACTAGTTTTTCTGTTGTTATTTTCACAAAGCTTCCAAAGAACATGGTATAAATGTCATTGGAAACGAGCAGGTCAAGAAGAAGCCTGTTCTTTTTTTTTTTTAAATTATTTAAAATCTCTGCTTAGAGGTTTTCTTTTGTTTGTTTGTTTTGTTTTGTTTTTTACTTACAGATCTGCTCCTGTTCCATAGATAGAGTACTTGACTTCTCCCCAAAGCCCTGAATCTGGATCTGTAGCCTTAAGAAAAGAAAATGAGTCATCATTTACTAAATTGCAAAAAGATGTGTTTCATTTTTCATTTATCATGTTAAAACCCAAATGCTTTTCCCTCTTTTTGCCATCACATTTTTAGGGGGAAATCACATAAAGAAATGTGCATCTAGAAAACTGCAAAATCTAACACAAGGCGATGTTGCTGGCTGTCCCAGGGAAGATGCTGAGATGCCTCCAGTCTCCTGGGCAGGCTGGTGCCCAGCAGCTCTCTCAGGGAGAAAGCCACTAGATGGCTCCATCTATTGACATTTAACACATCTCTCCTTTAACAGAGATGAAGCTGATCTCAGTGGCACGAACTGCCCACTCTCAAGCCTTCTAATTATCAGTTAAATATTAATGTATATGCCCTAGGCAAAATAATTTACTTTATATAGAGTATTTATTTAAGTCTCTGCTTGTTTAATTGATTTGATTTAAAGTAATGCATAACAAATATTTCAATCTATACACAATATTTCTGCTTTGTTTATATTTTAATCACTCTTGTGCCTGTGTGACTTTTAGCAATGCAGATACTACACCAGATGATATCTTTGTTCCGGACTCTTGTCAGCTTCCTTTCTCAGCTCAGGATTAGGGAAGCTATTGATTTGGTAACAGCAATTTCCATAAGCTCCTGCTTCTCTGATAGCTCTGAGGAGGTGCTATATTATGCTGTTGTATCTGGGCATCAAAATTCATGGCGTCAGTGGTTAATTCATTCATCTTCCTGTTTAAATATTTTAAAACTAGAACAATGTCTTTAATTCCTGCATGGTTAACATAACACACCTGCAGCCCTACTGATAGGTGTTTTTTAGTTCTTCGACATGAACTTGTCAGATTTTCTCACTCCATAATTTTGACCACAGTCTACGTTAAGACTGCCTAACTTTTCCTACAACATTTGCATGCCCGGGCCTTCTGCCAGAACTGCCATCCTGAGTACTTGGTGTATTTCAGTTTGTCAAGTATATTTGTGAATCTGGGTCAAGTACTGAGTTGACAGCACGACAGTAAATTTTATGTGGACTCCTCAGCTATGCTGTCCTGTGCACCTTGACTCAGAATGGTTAGTTTGGTTGCTTTTGAAAACTTTTTTTAAATTTCTTTTTTTTTTTTTTGTTGTCCACCTCCTAGAATTTTTTATTTCCCTTGCTACAAAGATAGCGATGTTTGGGAGTCTCTGTTTTCTACAACTTTCTTATTAGTTTCCTCTAATAACCTTTTCTGTATTGTTTATGTTCCACTTCTTTCATTCTTCCATCCCCAAAATTTGCCTTTAGCACTTTATTATCATGATTATTTAATCTTCTTTCTTACTTGCAGCCAGCTTGTGCTGGAGATCTCAGGCAATCTGCCTCCATCCTTACCTGTGAAGCCCCTGCAAGGTGATTTGCATCACCCACAGAGCCCCACGTGGCCAGGAGCATTCCCGACTTTGTGACATGAGATCTCTTTCCAGTCTGAGCAGCTGCATCGAAGAGATACAGCTCATGCCAACAGCTGGAAATGATTCTCCAGCACATAGGGCCCACGTAATACACTGGCTTTCTTTCTATGAAAACGTGAGATACTGGAACACCTATAGGCATATTTTTCCCACTGTAAGATACTTACATAGGGATCTCTCTTTCCCTGCCCTTTAATGTTATATTCTTGCCTTCATTAACCGTCTAATTATGCATTTAGCAGCCAGATTCCTCCCAGGAGGAGGAGACTAATACCTACTAAGCAGCCATCTTGTTTTCTTTCTACTCATACTTAAGCAAGCAAATCCAGTAAATCCAATTCCACTTAGTCATAACTAAATCTTCCCTCTGGTCACTGATTTGACTGGGGCTTTCTTAATACTCACAGACAACGTGATTTGTCTTAAAAGCAGATGGCGTTTAATTAAAAAACAAAGTAAATTTGTTGTTCTGAAAAATGTTTGCCTAAGACTTTTTTTTTCCAGAAATGGGATTGTGTTTTGTTTTTTTTTTTTTTTTTTTTTTTTTTGTTTGTTTGTGTGTGTGTGTGTGGTTTGTTTGTTTGTTGTTGTTTTTTTGGTTTTTTTTTATTCTGGAAAAGAACTGGAGTTTGGTCCAGAAGCTGAATGGTGAGTAAGATTTGCTACTTGCCTCTGTCCAGTATTTTTAAGGTACTTCTAAACTGTATCCACAGACACCTAGAAAAGAGAGCATTTCGCAAGAGATGAATGAAACTTACTGTAACGGCAACTACATTTGATCCCCCCGGGGAGTTCTCGGGGATCCTGGTAACGTAGTAGTCAGAGGAGAACTTTGGGACATTGTCATTGGTATCCAGCAAGCGTATCACTACATCAGCTGTCGAGCTGAATTTCTCTGGTGTGTTCACCTCTATTGCAAGAAGCTAAGAAGAGAAAAACAGGAAATTACTACAAAGCAGCTATTATTACTTCTTAAAAGTGCTTCCTTCCACTGCCCATGGCACATTGGTACATTTTAGCCTGGTTGGACCAGACAGCTTACAGAGATGGTGAGCCCAGGCTTGTTTGTGCATGCTTGCAATAGGCAATCCAGCTGTGGAGAGAGGACTTCAAACCTGCGTACACATATGAGACTTCATGTGACATATGTGATTGGTCATAACTAACCAATACAGCTCAAAAAGCCATAACAGAAGCAAGCAAACACCTATCTCTGGGCAGCTCCTAGAATTTAGGAAAATACAAGCACTGAATAATTTTGAATAATCACGTAAATTGAGTCATGATCCTTTGCAGAGGAAACATAATTTCTTCATAAGGAAAGGAGTCAAGGCAATAAACTGCACCAAACGTGATAAAGAGATGAGAGAACAGGTGCCCTGGGATGATTGGAAACAGCAGTGTCCCCACCCCAAATGCAGGATGGTCAGGGATCAGGCATGTTCAGCAGAATCCCATTTCACAAAGTCTGTGAGAACTCCTACCACCAGGCTTCCTGGGACTCTATTCTCGCTGCCTCATGCTGATTAGGACTTCATCAGGTAACCACTGGGACTTATGAATTGCCTCTGAGGAGGAAGAGAGAGCTCTGGCATAACACATTCTTATAACTCTGCTCACCTGAGAGCGAGACCAGGGATGGGGAGAAGCCAGCAGCATGGATGTTCTGGCTGGCTGTCAGCAGAGCTTCACACGAGTGCATGCCAATCTCATCCCTCAGCTGAGGGTTGGCACTGCTGGGCTTGCAAGTTGGTTTCTCGCATCACCCCTTAATGCACAGCTAATTGATGCGGGGAAGAGCAGCCACCACAGAGGAGGAAGAGGATAACCCAGGTGTCTGGTGCGTGGCAATGCTCAGTAGGCAGCAGAGAGGGCTCTCAAATCCCCACTTTGGATCAGACCTGAGCAGGTATTTAGTGAGTCACATCCAAAGCCTCAGACACTTTTCCACAGGACTTCAGCTACTCAGCACTGAATGCTTTCTCTCTTATTCTTAGTCTAACATAAAATAGCAGCAGTGTTTCTACTGTGCCTCTGTTTGCTCCTCGGTAGATTAAGGGAATGTCAGCAGGAAGCCTAAACTGGTAGAGCAGCAAGCCTATTACTCTGGTGGCGTGTGACTGAGAGAGAGCAGTTTCAGCAGCAGGTACTGAGAGACAGCGAGTCTTCCACAGCCTCCAGCCCAGGCACCTGGTCCCTGATGGGTGTCTACGTCACCCAGAGTCAGCACTAGGACATCAGTCTTGGGCTCTATAAGGGCTGAACCCAAATCAGTAACACAACAACCAATGGTCAACCATTTTTGGTTTTTGTGATTGAGCAGAGACCTTGTTAACACAAGGCAGGAGGGTTCTGGAAACCTGCTGAAGATAGCACAACACTAACAGGCGAGTGAGCAGGACATTTAACTGAGATAGGAGAGGCTCAGCTGAAAAATCTAGCTGTGTGGGCTTTAGATCCCAGTAGACATACATCCCAGGAGCTCCCTCCGAAGGGCTGAACGCCTAAGTGGGCTTTGGAAGGTGGAGCAGGGCTGCCACAGCATCCCCTGCTCTGCTGGTGCAGCGCCTCGCTGGGACGAGGGCTGTGGGAGCTCATCCTTCCCGCGCTGCTCGCCGGGTGCTCCACCTGCCTCCGGCCACATCGCAGGTCCCCGCGGGGCAGGCGGCCCGTGGTGTGCACCCGTGGGGGCACCGTGGGCTGGCTGTGGGGCACACGCTGTGTTCAAGTCCCTGCGCTGCTAGATTCGCGGTTTGTATCACCTAGAGGGGACAGGGTTTGGGGAGGGCGGGGAGCCGTCTAAAGTAGACAGGGAAAATGTTGTCTCAGTATCACCTCCTGGAGCTGTTCCTCCTGTGTGAACATTTGTACTGGTTGGAAATAAAAAGTGGATGGGTTCTTGAAGAAATTAATCTTGACGGAGTGCTTGTAATTACTATAGGACACATCTGCTCTGAAAGGGGAGTTCGGTCACAGTGTCTCTCTGCTAACTTTTGTGTTTGGGAGTCTTGGATGGTGTTGCAGCGAAAGAAATTTTTGAAGGGACAGTCATACAGGCATCAGCATAAACCTGCTTGTGAGCAATCTCAGCCCCTAAAGCAGCACAGATATAAAATCTTACTGCTTATTTTGCATGTGGAGCTATGACTAAATTATAACATCTGCAGTGAAATAATCTTTGCTTCTGGAATTAGCCCATCTTAGAATACCTTTTGAGAGCTTAGTATTTTTACTTTGTTTTCTACATTGATTTTTTATTCCCTCTCTTTTTAGCAGCCATAGCCCAGCTATGTCAACATGCTGACAACAACTTCCTTCAGGGAGGGATTTTTGCCAGCTTACTTGCCTGCAATTTCTTATGCAGAGCTGTATTGTTTGCTCTATGCAGAGGGAGAAAAAAAAATAGCTTAAAACTATTACGTCACAGGATTACATATCAACAATTCATACAAGTGCCAGGAGAACAAACTGAGACGTAACCTGAAAAGTGCCAGGTGAATTTCTAAAATAGAATTTGATTTTGGCAACTGAAGGTAATTGCAGCCTCCTCTGGTCCCGGCCTGCGGGAGATGTGAGCATCTGCAGAATCCGAGGGGTGGGTCCAGGCTCCTCTCAAGGCAGGATGTACTCTAAGCTGAAGGAGAGGGAGGCAGGAGGTTTGGCCCCCAAAGCATCTCAGTGCATAGCAAGGTGGGACAGCAATATCTGGGCCCTGGGGCAGAGGGACTTGTGATCTAAGAGGCCAGGCTGGAAGAGTACGAATTACCACAGCAGTCATACCTTGGGAAACCCACTCTAGCTCTTGCAGCTGACAATGAAGGAGCTCCTGACTACCAACTACATCTGAGAGTCAGCCCTAAATGAAAGACAAATTTTCTCTAGTAGCCTGTGCTTCAGGTAGTTTTTCAGTGCACCTCCCAGACAAACTAGCTTTCATTCCTCTCTGGCATTTTACTGTTCAATAACTAACCAGAGGAGACGGATCATTGCTTACAGAAAAACCCCCTGATATTAGCTTCTCAGAGCTGCTGTGGGATACATGTTGAATAGAAATAACAATATATTTAATCCAAAATTCTAACCAGAATGACTACATTGGCAACTAAAACTGTGTAGGAAGCAATTTGAACTTTTCAGAGAAATGAAGATGGCAGTAAGGTATTTATAAAGTATTTGCTGCCATATATTGCTACCATATCATCCAGCTGCACCTTCTTCATTTGGAATCTAGACAGAGGCTCTGCATTTTTAGCAAGGCCTGATGGTCTTTCTCCAGTAGAAGTAATTTCATCCAAAAAAGGAGGTTAATAATTGCTTAAGCTAAAAAAATATATATCCTTTTTCCTGTTAATTAATTCTTTCAGTGTTCATGACAATCACATTAACTACTTTGATTTCTATTAGTATTCATGAGGAGGCCATCTTTACTGGTCCTTTGGTAGTTTAACCTGAATAAATGTGCGCTTATTATGATTAGTTTCGGTAGAACTTTATAGTCATTTCAGAATCTTCCATTTTAATACAGTAATGATGCCTCATATTTTTGTATCATCTATAACCTATGAAGCTCAAAATGACTAAGGAACATTACAAGAGGAGACATGAAGCATACTGCAGTGAAATGGCTTGCTAAGGACACAAAGCAAACTATGTAGCATGGATGAGGACAAAATCCAGGAAGTTGGCTCCTGGACTGTGCAAAAAATGCCCCTTCCTGTACAAAATCAAAACTAGCATACACAGCTAGATAGTTTTGGCAATCTTTTTTTTTTTTTTTTTTTTTTATTATAGGGAATGTCTATGCTATTCTTTGCAGTCAGAACTGAACCATCTATACTCATGTTCAGTAGCAGCTGACACAAAACCAGACTACTTAATTATCTTGATGAGCCAGTGAATCCATCAGGGAAGGTGGCAATGCAAGGGTCCAGCTTTTGAATGAAAGCTGTTTCTTGGTTTAGAGCAAGGGTGAGAGAGCCTAGGTCAGTCTGCAAAAGGCCATATAGATAGATATAGTCTGAAAAAGGCAGTGAGCAATTTTGGGAAATTCTCTTCCAGTCAGATGGAGTCTTCAGCCTGCCAACATTCAAAAGCATGATCATGAACCAAATAATTTAGGACTAAGCAGGTAAAGTTCTGGCTCCAGGGAAATTAGGATTATGTTAATGTGAATTTATCATTGTGAGAGCAGAAATAACACCCTTAGAGTTCAGTCTAGAATGACTCAGAGCCAACATGCAGATTCCACAGGGAGATAATACTCAGCATTTTGCACTGACTGGACTAAATTAGTCCACAGATGCATCCATTAAACCTTTGGAAGTTGATGAACCAGAGGCAGAAATGAGTTTCCCTCATATGGAATATAATATCACTGACAGTGCATCAGACAGCTCCAGGTGGATTAAGAAGCTAAATCCTATCAGATACATAAGCCATCATACACATATCTTCTACACAGGCAGAGAGGACCTGGAAAGCAGAATTACCTTGAAGGTTAACACCTGGAATTTTTCATAGTCAATAGCAGCAGAATCTTCCACTATTATTGTAACCTGAGCCTCATTCAAGACAGTCTGGGGAACCACTCGGAAGATGCCACCAGGTCCAACAAAACGGAGGTTGAATTTAGCATTGGCTCCCTGTGAATAAAAGCAGATTGTTTTCAGTGAACGATGCATTTCTTACAGCCTAGGTTGGCTCTGTTTCTTCACACTGTATAAAATTAAAATGAGTCTTACTGCTTAGAGGCCTCTGCTCTCTATCCCCCAGGCAAGAGACTGCTAAGAAGCTTAGTTATATAATCCCTCCAGCCCTGGTCACAAGATGGACACAGGTTTTCTTAAAATAGATTGACAAGCTTGGTTATTCTTTCTGTCATAATGGAAAAACACTGCAGCAGGACTGGCAAAGAGAGGGACTCTTGTGGCAAGCAGCCCTGGGCTTTGTACCACACACAGTGAGCTAGTGCAAGTGACAGAGATGACACTATGTGCACATCATCAGGCATGTCCTGCCTCCTCTTGCTTCCTGCCAAGGAAAGGCAACTGAACTGCCCAGGACAATGGACCCATCAAAACCCCAGCCTGTGTCTTAAGAGCTCACAGCCTGGGATGATGGTACAGACCCATGAAGATGTGCAGTTTCCAGAGGTGGTACTCCACAGTTTGCACCGACTGGGTTAAGCTAGCCCAGAGTTACAGCCACTAAACCTTTGGAAGTTGATGCACCTGGGAGGAGAGAGGAGTTCCGCTTTGTGCAGAATAAAGTCTGACACATATTTGACAGCTCCAGGTGAAGCAAGCCAAATCCCATAATATAGATAACCCTTCTATCCAGACAGGGCATGGGAAGCAGCGGTATCTAAAAGTTTACCGCCACTTGTGTGTGAGCTGGGAAGAATGAGCCAGAGCCAGGTGGCCATACCAATTCTTTTAAACCAAGCTGGAACACAGAAGAGAAAAGATGAGTGGGGATTCTCATATTTCTGCCTTACAGGGGAGGTGGGAAAATGAGCTGACACCGCTTCACTGGCTCTCTGAGTTCACCAATTTCTCAAAAATGTCATGTTTACACTGTGACAAACTAGTCAGATTCACTGACTGGCTGGTGCCATGCTCTCCCCCAAGCATGAATCTTGAGATGAAGAATTTCTAATAGTAACTTTCAAACAGGCTAACTCTACTTTCAGCTGTATCCCTGGAGGGCTTGTTGAGAGCAGTTCTTGTTGCAACCTTAGCTTATGTCAGGAGGAAAAGTGTTCAGCAGTAGTCACCCAAAGGAAAGAGAATGATCTTGGATCCAAACTCAGTGGTCTGCATTGTTTGGTCATACAAACCCCTCAGCTAGAGTTGACAACAGGCTCTCTTTTGCTGGGTAGTAAAGCCAAACACACAGAGCCAGAGATGATGGACTATAGAAAATAGCGCTGATGGGGAAAGCTGACCATCTGACCACACAAAGTCCTCTGCGCTTGGGACTGTACATGACTGGAGGGACAGTGGCTTGGGGCAGGGAGAGAACTGCATCCTCCAATAGCTGAGTGATTTCTGACAGTGAAGCCCACTGAACCCAGACCTGCTTGGAGCAAGCCATGCTGCTGCATGTCTTCAAGCAGACAGCCATGGGACACAGGAATGACTGAAGGACTAACAGCACTGATCCCTAAGCTGTGTCTGTCAGATGAAGAAGGCCGGGGGAGAAATTCTGCATAATGTTCTTGCAAGTAAAGATGGCATTTCCATCAAACTGTAGGCCTAAACCAGACCTTGCCCACAGCTTCCTCCTCCTCACCTGCACCACCCACTTTCCGCAAAGAAAGAGTCACTAGTGGTTGTGACAGAAACAGACACATGTTTAATTTTCTTCTTTATATACTCCTCTTGTGCAGAAGGGAAAACATTGCTTTCTATGCCTTAAAAGAAAAGCAACCCACCCCACTAGAGTGATTGATGTCTTACACTGTACTAGAAAGATTCTTGAGGAATCTATACAGTGTATTTAGCAAAGTTTTCTGCTTATTTCATAGCCTAACTTGCAGCCTGAATATTTTGTCAGCCTACATATGATAAATATATATTTTGTCTCTAAATAGACGAGATAGGTTTTGTTTCTTTCATTCTGCAGCAACATCCCCCCTGACAATAGCAGAATAAACGTAGCACTACTTTGAAAGCAGTCATTTATCTGCTTGCTGCAGAGCAGCAGGAGGGAGGGGGAAGAAGCTAGTGGGTTTGATAGAGTACAATACAGTCAAAACAGCACAATACTGAGCACAGTTATATAAGAGCACTCTTTCCAATAGTAATACAGTTCTCAAATGCATTAAGCTTTTCTCTTGTCACTACCTAACCTCAGGCTAACTCTGATGGATGCCATTCATACAGTATTTAGCTTAGGGATCCCTATAGCAACCATCACCATAGTATCTACGGGCATCACAGGTCAGTTAGATAGCAGACTGAGATGGATGGAGTATTCTTTTCCTTTATCTAGTTAGTGTTAGTTTGGCTCTGGCATAATTTTTAAGATTACCTAAACATATCACTCCAGTGGGAATGATTTATCAAAGCGTGCAGTGCAGACTCTGGCTGTAACATAACGGCCAGAAGGATAATATATTGTAATAAAACCAGTGTAAGGGTACGGACTGTATTGTTTCCAGAAGAGGCTGAGAAAATACAGACAGCAATTGCACCTGAAGTTACCAAAGTGATTGGAAACTCTAAGTAAATCTCCAAAGGGAGTACATTCTCAGACATTGCATTGACAAGTTAATATAATTGAGGGAAGTTCATAAGGACTATTCGACTTTAGTTGCCACAAGAACTGGGCTGCAGCTTTAGGACCACCCTTCTCATTGACAGAACAGTATATGACAGGCTAAGTATACTTGTGGGCTAAATGCTCTGTGGTAATGGACCTACAACTACTTTGTCTGCCCTAGGTTTTTGGATAATGCAGGTGAAAGAGTTGAGTTCCTAAAATGGCATTTCCCCATCTGACAGCTCTTTCTAGTCTTTGCAAAAATAGGGCAGGAAAACTGAAAGTTCACATAGTTTCCATTTACCTGATCTGAATCATTGACTGTAATCTTCAATCCTCTCAGGATTTCACCCTCTGGGGGATGCTCGTACATGGTCAGTTCAAATCTGTTCTGGGGACCATTTTCTCCATAGAACGTTGGTGGGTGGTTGTTGAGGTCAACCACCCGTATAGTCACCATGGCAAAAGCGTGCACTGAGACATCACCTTCCTGACTGATTTCTGATGCCTGGAGCAGGCAGGAGAGAGAGAAGAATGATGAGGGTATACTCTCCTCAGTTCCATGTTCACCTATTGTTCTGCACGTACAAATCACCCTAACACACTAACTTATACAAAGATTCACAGCCTTATATTTCTCTAGAAATCTCAGCCCATTTCACACTGAAGTTTATGATGATTAGAAGATTATGGTAATAAACCAGTCCCAATAAAGCCTCAGTGAAAAAATTCTCCTCATTTTGTTAGCTTAGTAACTCACCCTAGGTGAAAACAGTTCTCTTAAGACAGATAATCTAATAGAGGCAAGACAATTGCCTGTCTAAAGTGTTGACAGAATAGAAAAGGAAGACAATCTTTAAATTTGCTGTGGTACCACAAGTAGTTGATTTTCACATTGCTGCAAGGACTGCAGCCTTGAATACTCCATGAGAAAAACTATGCCTGCAGTATTTAGGCAAACATTTGAAAAAGAAAAATGACATACTTTTTAATTATTTTTTTTTATTTTATTTGAGATTTAGTCTCTAATTTACAATTCTGCTTTGCTGTCTAGACAAGCTTAACTTAAATTGAGTATATTTTGGACAGACAAGCAAATTTAGTTGACATTTTTCTGAATTGAAAGATCAAATCTATCTGGGTTCCAACAATTCTAACATGCAGCCTGGTTCACTGGATTGAACCTAAGACATCTCTTCTGTCAGGACAGAAACTCTGGCTGGTGTTTTTGTAACAAAACAGATATCTCTAGCATACTTTTTTGCTCAAAGTGTTCAAAACCAAAGACACTAGACTGCTAAATTTCTCTGAAGCTGCTAGTCTGGTAAATGAGGTGTCTGTCACTACCTACGCTGGGTAATGCAACACCCTTGTGGTTCCTCAGGCAAATTTTGTAGTCTGTATGAGCTCCAGGTTGCCATAGGTATAACTAGAAGTTCAGAAAAGCTTGTAAGGGTTTAACTAATCCTGTATTTGGGAAGCGCTAGCAGACAGCAGTAAACCAGAGGGATTAGGGGATTAGGTGCCTGAGTTTAATTCGGGCAATGGGAACTCTATGAATCTCCCAGGTTCAGCAAACTGCTTGAGCTCACAACCAATCAAGTACCCTTGGGGACGCTACACTGGTTCTGACAGTGTGCAAGGCCTCACAGCTGCCTTTAGACAATATTGTCTTTACCAAAACAAACTCATGTGGTTGTAATATGCATTTACTGAAGAAAACTGATATGGTCTTCACAATTTAACTCTACATTTTAAAATTCTCAGTCTTTAGAAAATGCTTAAAACAACGCAGCCTGTCATACTGATACTAGCTCATCAAGGTGTTAGTGTGTATTTGTATGTGGCTGATCAGGAGTGGACATTGATATGACATTGCATGATCTACCCCAGTGCTATTACTAATCATAGATTTGACAGTTACCTATCTCATCACATCATGGTTACAAGACATTAATTCCCAGTTTAGCAATAAAATCTGAAAACAAAGAGAACAGTTATCTACATACTGTAAAGAATGTTGATTCTATAGACTTGGAGATTAAATTAGGACAAGATGACTTCATTTGAAAAACGCAATTTGAGACACTAAATATCCCAAGGAACAAAAGCAGTTTGTTTTGTTTCATACTCTCTGGCACTCTGCTCAAATTTAGGAGACAGTTTCTAAAACGGGTGAAGTCAGCTACAAATTGAGCTATAAATTGACAATCATGCCTACTCATGGTGTTTAAGACCAACAGTCTTCAAATGGCCACAGAACTTACCTGAACTTTTAGTTCATACACTTCTTTCTTGAGCTGATTTGGGCTTTTTGTAACAGAAATGGCTCCAGTTGTGTTGCCAATTTTGAATGAACCTTCACTTCCTGCAATAAAACCCAGATGCTCTAGTTACATGCCACACTTCCTTTTTCTGAACAAGCATGAGCAATTAACCATACTCTTCATTAAGCATATCTTTGTCCATATGTGCATCCAAATCTATTAGCAGATCTGAAGCTGCTTTTGAAAAATGAAGCATTTCTATGTCTGGTCACAACAAGATGAAAACACAGATGAGGGCCAAAAAGGGTTTACTCTCCTAGGAATGACTCAGTGGAGCTGTGCTCCTATGGACAGCTGCCCTCACTTTCCTCTTCCCTCCCCGGTCAGGTTCCCTTCAAGCCTCAGCAACCAGGCATGCAGATTTGGTATTTATTTCTATTATGCTGTCTTATTTATATGCTGGTTTAGACAAAAATAGACATTCCTCATTTTAATTAGCAAATGCATAATTAAATCTCTGAGAAACAAGAACATTTCTCTCACTAATGTTAACTAAGGTGAGAAGTCTGACAATCTGTCTAAAAGAAACATAGTCACTCTTCCTGCAGACAGCATCTCTGGAGAAGCATCTTCTGGCCTTAGACATGCAGTTGTTAAAAAACTCTCAGCCTCTTGCAAGGCTGTCCTCAACAAAAAGGGATTTTTGAGGATCTGGGGTAAAACCCAGGCTTTTTGCATTGAGGTAGAGTCTGACACAAGGCAGGACAGGGCTGAAGGCTGACTTTGCTAAGGCCAACCTAACTTCCACTGATCTGAACAGAAGATCAGTCACAGGGTGACCATCCCTTGGGACCTGGTGAATTTGTGCTGAAGGAAATGCCAGCCTGCAGAGAGGCAGTGGTGTCTCATCGCAACATCTGTGCTCATCTCACCATCACAGCCACAAGCAGGCTGGTGCCCAGGGAGGGGTCCAGCCAGCAGCTCAAGGAGCCTTGTCCTGTTCTGCCGAGGGGCTTTGGGCCCTTGCATGTTACCTCACGTACGGTATTGGCCACAACCTACGCTTTGTGGCAGAGCCTACCTTTGAACAGAAAAGAGAGGAAAGCCCTTACAATGAACGAAATCAAGCCTTCAGAAATAAAGGATGATGACCTGAAAGCCCAGTCATTTTTCTTTTTCTCTAACTCAATTCCAATGCTGAGTTTTAAACCATCTGATAGTATCCCATTGTGCTAATACCTGCAATAATTGCAACTTCATTAAAGTACACTAGACACAACATTGAACAGATATTGACTCATACAATGGTCAATTATTAAGATGCATTGGCCTGGAAAGTACATCCTGGCTGAGAAGAAGCTTAAGTCAATAGTGGTTTCAAGCCACCATACTTCATGTTATTGTCTAGTTATCACAGGGAAATTGGTAACTCAGAGTACTTAGCATTATGTGTGTTCCTTCATACAGCATGCTCAGAGGACTGGAGTATTTTCTAAAATTACCCCACACTCCCTGGATAAAAAATGTTTATAAAGAATAAACAACTTCCTATTTGCTGTTAGTATTTTCTTGCCCTTTGACAACCCAGCCTACAGGTACTGGAATAATGGCTTGTCACTAGTAATGTCAGAGTCTGAGGTGCAGGGGCAGAAACCTGTTGTAATCTATTGTTCTCTATTTCTTCAATTTTCCATGCACTAAAAGCATATTCCTTTCCTCTCTTTTTCATTTCATGCTAACAATATCCTGTGTTAATGTGCATAAGGAAAGCCTGCTCTCCATTAAGTCGCATTTTGTGCTACTTATCCGTCATCCCCTTCCATCTTCATTTTCCACTCTTTCCTAATCACTTACCTTTTTTATCCCATAGCACCTTTTTGGTCCTCCTATATTTTCTTTGGAAATCTAGTATCTTTCTTCATTAATCCTATTTCCCTTTGACATTTTCCCTGGTTCATCTGCTTTTGCTTATTCCTTTTTCTCAATTTCTCCCTTGTCTAGCATATTTTCATCCCACTTATTTGTTTTTACTCATTCTCCACCTTTCTTTTTACCTTTTCTCATTTTCCATCTATTCTCTTCTGTGACCTGTTTTTTCTCAATGTTTCTACCTTCCTTTTACCATCTTCTACCTATTCCCTTGCACTGAGGAGAAGGAACCTCAGTACGGGTCCCATCCCACATCAAGGTAAACCTCAGTTGCAATCCTCTGTCCTCTCTAGACCTTGCTGTTTAGATCATGTAACACAATGAAGAACTTACTGCATAGCTCTGCAACTACACCTCAGATTTCTCTTATGAAATTTTGGGATCTCTCACACCTGGGAATTGGGGTGCCCAGTTGCCATGGAAGTCTTGTTTTGGAGGAAGAGAGAACCAAACGAAACTAGAATTGTAGCTTGGAGTTTAGTTGAGCTAAGTTGTTGACTTTACCAGCTAATGAATCATTAATTCAGGTAAGTCTCACATATATGCTATTAAAAGATGTGTGACAGACAGTCTTGGAATAGCTGATAAAAAGCATTAACCTTCTGATATTATCCACTTTCTTCCAGTGCAGTGTACAGCCAGTGTCTCTTTACTGGTAAATGTAATTTTTTCCAAGAAATCAGAGGTCTGGCCGTTTAGCCACTTTAATCACAATATTAATAAAAATACCCCTCTAAATACCATGTCTGGGTCTCCCAATGCATTCTCTTGCCTACCAGATTAAACGATAGAGATGCTATGTGGCAGTGAATGTATCTCCCTTTACACTTTCTGAAATGACAAGCAGGCTACTGATGCCTAACAAATCAGCAACATTAACAACTCCAAGTATAGTTCTGTGAAGGAGATACTAAAACTCAGTGAATCGTATCTTGGCTGTTCTCTGGTAGACAGGGTCCTGGAGTTGTTTGAGGTACTTGACATTATTTCATGAGAGTTTGTCTCAGCTTTATTAAACTCTACTATATCTCATTCTAATTTAATGTCAGATCTAGTTTCAACTACACTTCAGATTTTATACAAGAGAAGTCTACTCACCGTTCACGATGTAATAATGAATACTGTTAGGCTTTCCTCTGTCTCCATCAAGAGCAACAACAGTGAGGACCTCAGAACCCTGGGGAGAAATGAGAAATCACAGTCTGTGTGCTAAGATCAAATAGCAGTGAAATTGCAACTGCGTATTAATAAACTCTAAGTCTTCTGCAGTGAGATGTAGGGGGGAGAGTGGGTACTTCGGCTTGTACTGTATGGGGACCACATCAAGGGCCGTTGACTCCCACCCAGAAAAATATCAGCGCTTGTCTTTGCAGAGCAGGAGCTGAGTGCCGCTCCTCGGACCAACTCTGTGCTGTTCCTACACCAATAGCTTTGGCTGTTCCCAGCCATGTCGCGGCCCATGCACATCATACAAATACCCGCCTCCATACCAAGTGGGGACGCCCCCGCTGCTGCTCACTCCCTGCAGACCCGCTGTGCGGCCTGTCCGTGCCCGCCTGCTGCCAGCGCCACGCCGCTGCTCGCACCCACGGCAGAGCGACCTGCTTCGGTGCGTGGGCCTCAGCTGCCCCAGGAGGGACAGGGCTTGCCGCAGCCTCGGGGCACGCCGTGCGCCTGCGGAGAGACCGGTGCCAGTTTGCCCAGTGCCCAGCTCGCTTGTCCTTTCTCGCAACTCAGCTTTGGGTGAGCGCCCGAGGACGAGCAGGAGCACCCCACTGCTCCCCACGGGCTGCTCTGTGCCCACTGCTGTGGCAGTGCCGATGGCACGGGTGTGAAATGGCTGCAGGTGGGGGGGTGCCTCAGGCCCGGGGTCTGGCTGGCTGCGGGACCAGTTAGAAGCCATGGCCAGGGACACCCGCCTCGAGGCACAGACTTGGATTTGGAGTAACCGATCTGAGACCCGAGGTTTAGTTTGGGTCACTACCACGATGCCCTCTGGTAGATGCTGTGTAGGCTCCCGGCATTGCTGCGCACCCCGTGGCCACACAGTGTGCTGAGACACAGGATGGAGGTCATTTTGGTCCTACCTAATTAAGTACAGACAAGCAGCAAAAGCAAACAGAGATCACAAAGCGACTTGGCTCACCGAACATTTAGGGCATAAAATTATGATGAAAATTATGGCGAATTAACTGTCCTTAATCCTTCACCATCTTTCTTTCTGTGCAAGTAACATGGCCGTGGGCCATACGTACAGAACTTGGGTACTGAAGACCATTTGCTTGTGTGACTACTCTTACAGTTCAGAGGAACGATGGCTGTCAGCATTAAAGTGCTCACCCAACCGGCAATGAGCTGGGCAATTGAGGCCTCTGAACTAAAGTTTTACTGTTTGAGGTTGTAAAAATAAGGAACATTGAAGTATCTGTCAGTTAATCACAAATAGCAATAAGGAACATTTTCATTACAGTCCTTGAGCGAATTTTTCAAACAAGAGCAAGGTTCTGTTAGAGCAACCAGAAATACAGAACTGTATTTATTATCATTTATGCTGGAAGCTGCAATAAAATCTGCCTACTGGGCAAAATGCAGTGCAGTCCCTTTGAAGGTGACAGAGTACTTGTAAATCCTGACAACTCCACCAAGGAGAAAAGAAGCAAATTTACAGAATTAACACCAGAAGTATAAACAACACTAAAATCAGCTAGTGCATCTCTCTCTGTGGAGTTCATTCTAATAGCAAAACCCACACTGGGAAGGACTGATTCATTCTTCCATCGTTATAATATCATAATAGTGTAAGTTATGAGCTCAAGCTGGATGTAATTAACATTTTTATTGACTCCTATTTCCATAGTAAACACTAACTCCTGTGTGCACCTGATAGTTATTTAAAGATCTATACATAACTACGCAGAATATATCAATATACATAATATCATTCATTCCAAACATCTGCAAAGTACACAAGCATTACTTCTCTGCCCTGTTGAAATGTAACAGCCTATGCACTGAACTGTAATATACAGTCATGCAAGGGCTGCAGTGTACATTAGAGTTCTGGACAGAAAGCAAAGACAGGATCTTTCCTGAAATTCAAGTGATGATCAAGTGAACAGCGTGTAATCACACTGTCATAGAGATCAATAGTCTAAAGTTGGGTTATTTCATGAGTAGATACCATTTCTTGGCCTATGTATGAAGAAAATTTTAATTAAATCTTATGTATCAGGGTGAAAGCTGACCATACACAATATCCTACCACTGCTCAGATATAGAGAAAATTCATTAGTTTGCAGCCTCAAGAATACTATGTGGTTGAAAGCACCATGGTGGATATAATAAACTATTTTGCTAAGCTGTATACTCCATTTTAAGCAAATATGCCATTAGGCATTTCTGAGGTGATGGCAAGCCAGGAGCTCAGTGTATTCCTTGGATATTGTGACTGTGATAGATACAAAGTGGTATCTTCAGCAGCAAACATATGCTGACAAATGCAGTGTCCCCACTTGTAAGCGGTCCTCCTAAGTATGTCCCTGCTTGCTTTATAATCTGGTGGGTTTTAGGCCTGGGAGGATTTCCTGACCCATTCTTCCTATCTAGCCACCACTGATAAGAAAGTATCCTGCATTTTGGGGACGTCAGGATTGTTTCTTCCCAGGTGATGTCCATGGGACAGCACAAATTGTCTAGAGCATTTGGTCATACATTCTCCCCACACCTTTCACAACCAGCTGTTGGTACCAGACTGATCATCTAGAAAAGATAAAAGCACTGTGAGACCACACAGCACAGAAACACACAAAAGCTTCTAACATGATGTGTTCAGGTGAGGCAACTGGCAACCTACTTAAGCCTTCAGGTCACTGCAGGTCTCAGCTGTGGAAGAGCTCTCAGTCACTGTCTGGGCTTAGACCAACATAAATGGGCAGAATCCTTTTTGACTTTGATGACAGCAACAAGAAGCCTTACACGGCAAATTTGCAATGGGTATAAATAAGAACAAGTCTGAGATTTGGTCAGCTCATTTCACTTAGGAGTCAAATCAGAGGTCCCAGTTTCCAGTAACGCCTGTGCTAGAAACCACAGGGCTACCTTGACTGAGATGTGAAAGATTGCACTTGTTCTCCTACAGTTAAAAACCAGAACTTACTGGGAGTGTATCCTCATAGACATATCCATAGTAGGGAGTCCCGATGAACATGGGAGGAGTGTCCTGAACATCCTCCACATTGACAGTAACTGTTGTTGTGGCTGAAAACACCTTGTTGTCTCCCCTGAGCTTCCCACCACCATCCTAGAAGAGAAGTCATTATCAGGTCCCTCTGCTGAAACATGTCTGCAAATCATCTTATGGCACTGCATGCACCTCATGAGCCTTCAGAAACACAGTTCCAGGAATCGCTTCTCTCTCTCAGTACACAGATTAATCTCTGCTGTCCTATTCCCTTCTCTTTTTCATTTGTTCTTCTCCCTCTCTTATTAGGAAGAAGGCTTGCAGTGTCTCAGAAGTAATTTCTTATGTTAAAAGTGGCTGTGCCAATATATGCAGTCATACATGACCTTTTATCAACAACACGGGGACAGGGAATTCACTTTTTTTTTGTGGGAAAAAGGAATGCTAGAAACTGATGCAAAAAAGATAGTGACTAAAGTCCACATCTTTTCATCCCACATATAGTCTTGTCATAAACACAAGACAATAAGCAATAGCCAGGTAGTGCATTTCTAGGGGGAAATTAAACAGTGCACATGATCAAAGTCTCCTAGGGACTCTGACATGATAAAGCGAAAGCATGGAGGATCTGTGCAGCCAGGAACTGTTAGATAGCCACAGTGTATAAACAGTCTCTGGGGACTTGACTGCAATCAACTCCGTGCTACTGATACAGCAGAGCCAATTAGAAAGATGACTCGCAATTTCAGAAGCTTTTAACACCCTCAGTCTCAGAGCACCAGCTGGAGGTCAGCAGTTATACTGGTGTATAAGAGTGTGAATTGTTTGGCCTGTCTGCTCTACCAATTCTAAAAATTCAATATGCTCATTTTTTTTCCTCCTTACTGCCCCAAAGGCAGCATTTAAACCAAATTTTTTTACTTCTCCTACAATGAACCCTGGCTAAAGAAACACATAAAAAGATCCATATGTTTTTCATAAAACATGAGAAACTCAAATCCTCCATAAGTAAAATCAAAATCGTCCTCTTTCCACCCATGTGAATATGTCTGTGTGACAGGTCCCCACAGGATCCCGAGAGACTTTACTTCAGAATCCATAAACGTTTAGTGCCTAATGAATCCTCAGCCATGCCACAGGCGCAGCACTGCTGACAATGGCAGCAGCAAGAAGGGATATGCAGCAATACTTGCAGGATTTGAAAAAGCTCCTGCCATAAGTCAGCAAAGCATCCACAGGTATTTTCAGGAAAGAAGTCCGTCACTTGTGCTGCACTGGGTCCAGCTGTGCCAGTGTCTTACTGTGGCTAACAACTGTGACCCGCATCCCGGCCTGCCAGGGGTTTAGGGCCATGCCCCAGGCAGCACGAGGGAGCCCTGAGCACTTGCATTTGCCTGAAGACTGATGTTTCTTGGAGCCCGGAGCTGCATACACCATCCCTTCACTTCAAGGTGACTCTCAAAACACACAGGTGACTTTCTGCAGTAGGGCTCACTGTCCTGGCACTGGGGCCTGAGGGGAATGTGGGAAACCCACGCCCAAATCCCTCCAGATGTTGTTCAGCAGCAGACACTGGTCACCTTTCCTCCCTCACTTTTCCATGTTACCTCCCCGCCCCACCTCCAGATGTTACAGAGGGAGTGACTCTGCTGCTTCAATGTTATGCTCCGTGTTTCTGCAACCCTTTAAGTCACACTTGTATTCGAACTAATCAGTCCTACTCAAATACAGCCCCCCATCTCCTCTAGTTTCAGATAAAAGCTTTATACCTTGGCTACAATGACGACAAAATGTGTTCTTGATTTCTCATAGTCCAGGGTGACCCCTGTTTTGATGCGCAGTACACCACTGTGACGATCTATTGTAAACTTATTAGCATGGATGTTCTAGAAGAAAAGAAGAAACAGTGAGAGATTACAGGTATGGAAATAAGATTGCCATAGGGATTCATCTTTTGTTTCATCTGCTAAGGGAAAAGACCAGAATAATGATACAGTTTGGGTGAATAATGTATTTGATGAATTTCACCTCTGTGTGTTTATGAACAATTCATGAACCGACCAGGAGTCTCTCATTATTCAGAATATATCAGTTACTTGCAATGTAGATTTTTTTAATCTTTTATTATTTCATTGTGAAATCTTAAACTTTGGTTAACAGAGTTCATTGCATGGAAAGAGGTATTGAGGCTTAGCAGAAAAAAGGATGAGGGGAAAAGGAAGATAAAAAAAGTGTTATCCCTTAGAGTTTGAAAGTTCTGCTGGCTTTTAAAAAAGCAGGAAGTTTGCATGCACAGATTATTGTCAAATGAGTGGTGTTTTGGTGATTTGGCAACACAAAAATAAAATCTAAAAGACATCTGATTTCCAAAAAGGCCTAAAAAATATCTCCCTCCATTCTTCTGGACTGGAGTTATCTATAAACACACCTCCATTTTGGTAGCCATACACAATGGCCACTGTTGAATGATCTTAGCCTTTTCAGTAGATGTCATCATCTGCCTACATCAGACTTTCAGAAAGGTTTTTTTCTGTGCAACTTGAGAATTCACAGAGACTGTGACAAAAGACAAGACAACATTTTTTTCTACAAAACCACATATTTAGTATCCTTTTTGCCACACAGATATATCAACTAGACATAGAAGTTTGAAATCATTCTTCCTTGGCTTCACAGTCTATCAGTTTACTGGAAAAAGCCCTGTGCAAAACTGAATACCACACATATTGTATTTTAAGTGGATAATAATTGGTGAAATCAAAACTAAATTTCAACAGGGCACTCAAGGTGTTCTTTCACAGTATGCCCAAGCTCTTAATGGGATTAGTTTTAGTGCTGTGTAAGTATCTTCCAACTTGTTTCCATATTTGTATCCAAAGTAAATACTGCAACAAATTGGAGTACTTTTTTTTGTGTGTGTGTGTATGTGTGACTTTGTGTTTTGGTTTTTTTTTTTTTGTTGTTTTGTTTGTTTTTTTTTTTGTTTTGTTTTTTTTTTTTTTTGTTTGTTTTGTTTTTGTTTTTGTTTTTTTTGTTGGCTGGTTGGTTGTTTTTTTCTGTTGTCTCTTGAATAAGGGGAAGTGCAGCTAATCTGGATGAATTTGCTGGTAAAAGGAAGGAATTTGAAGGCTATAATGCAAAAAGCTACCCATTTGGCATGCAGAAGGTCTGTGATACAGAAATTCAGCTTTAAATAAGGAGCCCTTTCTGTTCTTCACAGGTGGGCAGTAACTGAAAGGCTGGTTTCAAGCAAGCATGGCTTTGTCAGTGAGAAGACTTAGTACCTCATATTTCACACTGTCATCTATGTCTGAATTATGTACCAGCCTGCTACACTGAAGTGCACATTTCGTTTTCCACTGTATTTTTATTTCAAAAGAAAGCTATTTCATGCTTTAGAAATCCCATATACACCCAAGATAACAAGTTAGACTTGCTCTCCCTGTCATCCCAAAGAAAGGCCCTGCCATGAGGATCCAGTCCTGCTGGCAAGCACAGGAGTGACAGTGGCACCTCCAGCTCCTCCTTCTACCTGCTGGACTGCACTTGGCTGCTTGCAATTGGACAATGTCTGTTTTGTCAATGGTTGTTTTCTTGTGCACAGTACAAAATTAGTCTTATAGACACTAGTAGCAGGCTCAACCCTCAAAATATTTTTTTAACCTGATTTCTGAGATCTCAGTAAATGAGAGTTTATTTTTGGAGGTACAGGTAATACCTTACCTGCAAGAAGTAAGTGATACTTCCTCCAGAACCCGTGTCTTTGTCCACTGCCTCAATCTTAAAGATACTGCTGCCAGAGGGAGCGTTCTGTGACCAGAAAGAGTTACCAGAGTCACACAGAAGTGGAAAACCAGGTGAGTTAGCAGAAATGAAAAATGAGCATGCAAGGAGGCAGAAAAAGAGAGTGATGGTAGAAATAGTATAAATACATTGAGGGAAGCAAAGAGCAGAAATAAAAGAGGGAAGATGTTAAAAATGGAGGAAACTAGAAGAGAACAAGAAGGAAGAAACACTGTTTGGAATAAAAATGACAGGAAATCTCAGCTAATACAGAGCACATCCTATTCCTACTGAAGTCAGTTCTAAAACCTCCCAACGACTCATCTTGGAGCTTACCCACACAATAGCATGCCATAAGTACCTACAGACTTATTCCCTAAGTTTGCAGTAAATATTACATATCTACCCAAACCCTAAAACAAAAGAATGCAAGTTAGTCTTGCACATCTTGTTATTTTACTGAAAACATACTAGCTCCTCTTTACAACCTGCTGAAATATACTTCCAGTATGCAAAGGAACTTCACCAACCTCTGGGACTTGGACTATGTAAGGCGTATTGACGAACTCCGGGCTTTCATCATTAGCATCCATTACAAGGATCCTGACTTTTTCAGAAACCTGGAATAAAATATGAAGAATATATTATGACTCAAGTTAACTTTCAACATGTACCTGTTTCATTTGTCTAGTAAGGTGTAGTCAAAGGCAGTGAAAACTTATGTTGTAATAGAATATCTTTGCACTACCAAAACTGAGCACACAAAAGAAAATACAGAAAATCCCGTAATAGAGAAGATTTTGCTTTTTGGAGAACACCCAGATGTCTCCAAACTAAATAAGGGATCTCACAGTACTTTACAGATTGGCGCTAATTTTCCAAAGTCTTTCTTCTGCTTTATGGCATTCAAGATACCATAATGTATTTTATGAGAATATTTAAAAGACTGTAAAAGTTGGCACCTGACAACCAAGAGCATTCATTAATGCCTCATTTGATATCATGATACTATGTTAATAGCATGCACAATTTGGATGTACAAATACATGCTACTAATATGTAACAATTCAACTTGAACAAAATGTGTGTTCTCTTTCTAAAAATACAGAAGCAAACATATTTGACCAACAAAACTTCCCAGCTGCTTGCAAGTGGACATGTGGATGTGATCCCATTATTTCCTATTTACAGAGGTTACCAGGGCAGTTGTGCCTCTAGGATGCTGGCACCTCCCAAAAATTTCTTGTAATAATCTCAATTAATTTGTCTGAGATGGGGAAGAGCTTGAGTTATCCAGTCTTGTAGTACGAGGGTCCCACTTTTATGGCCCCTCTAGTGATGAATCCCAGGTTGTCTTACTAGCAAACTGATATCCTGGCTGTGACAGCATCTGTCCATAAGCTGAAAATGCCAAGGGAATTTGTAGAACTAGGTTCGTGCAATGCCTCAGATGAGTCCTTGTTGTGGTTTAACCCCAGCCAGCAACTAAGCACTGTGCGGCCACTTGCTCACCCCTACCCTCTCCCAGTGGGATAGGGAGGAGAATCAAAAAAAAGTAAAACTTGCAAGTTGAGTATAAGATCAGTTTAATAACTAAAATAAAATAAAAATATACAATAATAACAACAATAATAAAATATATTAATAATAATTGCAATAAAAAAGAATATAGCAAAAAGAGAGAGAAATAAAACCCAAGAAAAGACAAGTGATGCACAACTCAATTGCTCACCACCTGCTGATCAATGCTTGAGCAGTGATCAGTCCCTGGGCAACTCCCCCCAGTATATACTGGGCATGATGTCCTACGGTATGGAATATCCTTTTGGCTATTTCAGGTCAGCTGTCCTGGCCACACTCCCTTCCAGCTTTTTGTGCACCTCCTCACTGGCAGAGCATGGGAAACTGAAAAATCCTTAATTTAGGATAAGCACTGCTTAGCAACAACTAAACATCAGGATGTTATCAACACTGTTCTCACACTGAATCCAAAACACAGCACTGTACCAGCTACTAGGAAGAAAATTAACTCTATTCCAGCCAAAACTGGGACAGTGCTTAATGACTGGATGTGATCAAAGTTTTATACAGCAGCAGACAAGAAAACCCCCACCACCTTAGCCTAAAAAAACCTTAATGTAATGCTAGAGAAACACTGGCGAGGGTAGAGGGACAGTCAACTCTCGGCTGTCCAACATTAGTTCCTATAATGTCACGCATTTCTCCAAAAAGCCTTCAGATCTTTCTTAGATATTAATCCTACTGAGCTGACAGGGAAACTTCAGAGGAAATTGCTGTAATTCTGCAGGCCACTAAGTCAGTCTTTCAGCTCACACTATGTTGTAATTATCCTCAAATAGCTGAGCAAGGAGCTGCAGTGAGACTTGAGTTACTGGGAGTTCAGTGGCTCTTGAAAGAGGAGGTAAGACCCTAATGAGATTATGTTTTCTGATAAAATGAGATAGTCCCTGTAAGGTAATTTAATAGGAGAAGATATGTGGGGACAGACAGTTAGACAAGCTACAGCATAATTAATACTTACTGTACTCAGGCCATCTGAAATACTGACAATAACTTCAATCTCATCTTCCTTCTGTAAACCGAGAAAATTCCACTGTTAGAGAGATGGTGTTTGTCCTGATTGGAAAAGGGACTGCAGATTTAAATGTGTCTCAGCAGGTAGATAAGTGACAGCTAATACCACAAAGCAATAACAGCAGAAGCTAGGAAGACACGTCAGAGGCTCTAGCTGAGGGGTTCCTTGGACTTTCTGTGGCTACTGGCAAGAGATGGTTGGTCTGGGAATCCCTGTTGTCCTGTAAAGGGCTAGTGAAAATCAGTCAACTTCTTCAATAAACACTCCCTAAAAAGGCATGATCTGTTCAAAATTCTTCTCAGTATACAGTATTTTGAAGGGTTTACTAAGTATTGTGTACCTTCCCCTGCAAAGGAGACATGAACTGTTCAATCCCGTGTTCCCAGAATAAGGCTGCCTTTAGGCCACTGTTGCTGGGATCATCTTTACTCCCGTGGTTACTTGGGTTAAAGGGCTGTGATGTAACTAGAGAAGTGTCCTAAACACATCTTACACAAATCTCTACTTTCTCCTAACAACAAGAGAGTCCCTTGTCTGAGGATCAGAGGACTGTAACTGCCTCTAAGGTATTGATGGGGTCCAGGTGGGGGAAGATGGGAATAAAGAGTAAACTTCTCTTTTGGCAAAAGCTGGACAGACAGCTGCTGAAAAATTTGATAGCAGTGTCAGTGGCACAAGTCAACTGGAAAACAACTTGAAGGGTGAAGTACAGTGTCTCAAAATTGCAAAGTATATTTCCTGTTTCAAAGGCAAATAAATCGGCATTGTCCCTCAAAGCCACTGGTCAAATTAAATTGAAGGAAATAACATGAACACATGGAGTGGTGCTTTTCACTGTACCTCTCTGTCCAGCTCCTCAATCAGGGTAACATTGCCAAGGTTCTTGTCAACAGAAAAGTAGCGTCTTGATCCAGCTTCATAGGCCAGGCCGTACGTCACGGGATCTCCTTCTGGATCAGTTCCATTCAGAGTGTACACATGGGTACCTGAAAAATTGGCATTCAACAGCATTTCCCCGTGGTTACTTCAATCAGTGAGTATTTCACATGTCTGTTCCTTAGGAACCTATCTACCCTGTGGCAGGCAAAGCTTTTGTAAATCAAACCCACTTACTGGGAAATATGGGTAAGTAGACAGTCCAACAGTCCTGATTGCCACATTTTAGTCTATTGGTTAAACTGAGTTTATCAGTGCTGGTTTCTCTCACTTCGGGCCCATTCATGTGGAACCATACCTAGACCAATACTGTTCACATCACAGTGTTTACATAGATGACAAGCTCTTGGCTAACTCTCAGCCCAGGTCAGTCAGAATCAATGCCTTTGTATGACTGGGTGACAACCTCAGCAGTACCAAAAGGCCCTCACACAGCTATGCTCTATGGGAACAATGAAACTGCAAACGAGCAGGCAGAGGATCCAGCAACTGAAGGCAGTGCTCCCACAGGACTGGACCCAGGCTCTGAAGCTCAGGAGATGCAAGGACATTTGCAGACTTTTCTACTTTCAGAACTAATAGATGTAAAAGTCTTCTTTCTTACTTCACTCCCCCTTATTAGCTCCCTCTCATTAAATTCTCTACTTGACACACACACTCATGCTCATACCAATGAATAAATTCTCCAAATTCGTCAATGTATTTCTTTCACAAGCTGGGGAAAGAGAGTTTGTTATTTATATTTTTAAACATTCAAGAAGTTGATGTCAGTTTTTCCAGTAAACTGACTTTGTTTATCAGAAGCGATACTTCCTGGGGGAGTTATAACACCCACGTTTTCAAAACACGGTGAGGGTTTATTAGTATTATTTTTTAAAACCTACATGTCTGTCATTCTACTGTACATTAATATCTTCATCCAAATAACTTCAAGCACTTTACAAATATCAGTAAGCTGAGCCTGAAATATAAAACACTGCTGTTGTTGTTTCCTTCCAATACACTGTGCCTTGGGTAAGTTACCTGAGATATTCAAGTTGCAGAGGTTTAGAACAGTAACTTTGCTTTACATCTAACAAAGTTCTCTGCACTGGAAATACTGTAGCCAAGTGACTCACTGGTTAGTAGTGAGTTTTGCTTGTGCATGAGACACAGAGATATGATGGAAAGATCCCTGCTAAGAAAGCTAGCATAAAGTTAAGGAAGAACACTGTTAAAGGGAACCCAGAAGACTGCAGTTTTAAACTACTCTGGCCCCAACTTTGAGACATTTTTAATTATGTACTCAAAAGTCATAATCTTTTTCTCATATCCACTCTGCAGTGGCGTTTTTCACTGACCAGATCCATATGCTTCTGTTTAACTCTAGAGATTTGGTTGAGGTCCTGCCCATGGCGCTGACAGGTCAGCTTCTTGGATGTTTCCTCAGATCTGCAATGCAACCTTTCAATCCCCATTTGCTTATTACCTGGCAGGCAAAATGTGAAGTAAACAGATTAGTGGGCTTAATGGACATGCACTGTCCAGGCATCAGTGGTGATATTTAGAAAACATGTCTGTCTTCTTTGCATAGCAAGAGATTATGCCAAGCCATGTGGGATCTGCGCTCATTTATGAGTAAACTCTCTTATGATAATTACCGGGGCAATATTTGGGCAACTTAGTACAGAAAAATGTTCACAGTGCAAAACCTAATGGATCCACAGGAGCACAAACAACAGACTGTGTTATGAGCTGGCTCAGCCAGCCAACAAATAGTCAAGATTTAAAAAACAGGTTCACAAAACTACAAATCACTTCCACATTTTTCTTGGACTTTTCCCACAAAACAGAATAGAAAATAATGACACATCTGTAACTGAGATGCCCCAAAATTATTAGAGAAAGGCCATGAGCAGTATGATGAAACACCTACCTGATTGTAACAACTGAACTGTGAAAGTACAAAGGAATGCAAGGAGAGGAGTAAACTGGGGCTGATATAAAATAGTGTCCTGAAAGGCCACCGGCCTCCCCATGTAGCTGTCTATATGAGAGACAGAAATTTCAAGACTGTTGAAAGTTCTGCAGTATCAGCGCTGGCTGCACCTATTCTTGTTTTTCAAAAGCTTTGTCTTAGTATCACAGCTAGGGCCAGATAGAAAATTCAGGTGTCAGCTGTCAGCACTTCACTGACATCATTATCAATACAGTGCTTTTCTTCAGCCTTTTTTGGTCATTAGAAGTTTTTACTTCTTTAATTGCTTTTCTGCCCTTCCTCTTCACTTTTCTCATCCCTTCCACTTAATACACCACTGGCTGCCCTGCCTGTTTTTAGCTCATGCAGATGTTTGCAGCAGCTACTGCAGCGCTCCCTGTGCAGTGAAGAAACAGGATGGACACCCCAGTCTATGTCTGGGGTCTCTCGGAGCCTGTGGGCAACAACCAGGCACAAGGTCTAATGCTGTAACTGAGGCTGCCCTGAACTACCAACATTGGTACTACACAAACTGCAAACCACTCCTCAGGGACTGCAGGGGATGTGCTAGAGAAGAACAGACTGTGAAAGTTCAGATGAATATATTTGAACCTGGACTTGTTCTTCCAATTTCACAATTTTCTCTTCTATATTTTCTAGGAATTTTCTTATAATGAAAACAGGAATTTTCTTACTGCTAAATGTGAGAAGAAACATTGATATTGGTACAGACTGAAATTACTGAGATTTCTGAGCAAGTAATAAGGGACATACGTGATCTTTACACTGGAACGTTTGCTTCCTAGTTAATCTTAGAATAGTTTGGGTCAGAAGGGACCTTGAAGACAGTCTAGTTCCAACCCCCCTGCCATGGGCAGGGACCCCTTCCCCCAGCCCAGGGTGCTCCCAGCCCCGTCCAACCTGGCCTTGAACCCTTCCAGGGAGGGGGCAGCCACAGCTGCTCTGGGCACCCTGGGCCGGCGCCTCACCACCCTCCCTGGGAAGAATTTCCTCCTTCTATCTAATCTAAATGCACCATCTTTCAGTTTAAACTGTTACTCCTCATCCTATCCCCACACCCCCTGATAAAAAGTCCCTCCCCACCTCTCCTGTCCCCCCTTTAAGCCCTGGGAGGCCACTCGAAGGTCTCCCCGGAGCCTTCTCTTCTCCAGGCTGAACCCCCCAACTCTCTCAGCCCGGCCTCCCAGGGGAGCTGCTCCAGCCCCCCCAGCATCTTCGTGGCCTCCTCTGGCCCCGCTCGAGCAGCTCCGTGTCCTTCTGCTGTTGGGGGCCCCCGAGCTGGCCCCAGCACTGCAGGGGGGTCTCCCCAGAGCGGAGCAGAGGGGGAGAATCCCCTCCCTGGCCCTGCTGCCCCCCCTGCTCTGGCTGCAGCCCAGGGCACGGGTGGGTTGTGGGCTGTGAGTTCACATTGCTGGGTCATGTTGAGCTAAAGCTGACACTTCTTTGTTTTTCATAATACAGGACACTTGTATGCCTTTTAAATTGGATTGTGGATCAAAATTTCTTTTCCAGCTCATCATAATTCCTAATTTTGCCTGAATTGTAATTTCACAGCACAATACTCTCCACATCGTTAACACCTTGGGAACACTTCTGAACACCATGTTAATGCCAATTAAAAATCTCCTCTCCGTGTGCTGCCTCCACTTGCTGAAAAGAAAATAAATGAAAAAAACAGCTAAAATCTTATCAGTGAGTACCAAGTAAACAGCCTCTCCCTGTCAGAAAGATAAGGGAATAGAAGATTCTTTACCCGAGGATATTGCAGATACTGCGTAAGGGCCCTAGTCAGAAGAGCTGGGTGCTCCGAGTACCCAGGGGATAGTGAAGCAGGCTGGGATGGGGAAGGCCTGTGGAGCTGCACGCTTATCCCTGCTACGGCTGCTTCCCAGGAGCCACACCAGGCTTTCACTCCATTTGCTTTTCCCATCTTGAAAATCATTTGCTCTTTGTTCCTGCTACTCAGTCTGAATGGCTGTCCCATGATGCCTTTGCTCCATTTTACTTCATTTCTGACTTAAATTTATTCATGGCCAGCCTCTGTCCATGTGCTCTGGGGCTGGTTTTGCCCTCTCACTGAAGACACGCTCTCCCTCTCTGCTGTGTGGCACTCAGCAATCAAATCCCCTCCCTGCCAAGCTAAACAAGCCAAACACATTTTGGACTCATGCTCAATCCCCTCTTGTCCTTTGCCACCACAGCTGACATCTGTTAACAAGATGCTGAGAGGGACATCCATGGCTGTGCTCCCAGGACAGGACACCTCTGTTCCCAATGTCACAGCAAATACCATCTCTTCTGGGGTTATGTGCCTGCTCTCCTCCTTTCCCAGCCAAAGGCCGATTTCTCCACCAGGAAAGGTGGTGGACAGTTAACACACAGCCTACAGGTGGCTGTTCTACACTGCAAGCACAGGAGAGCTCAGGTTCCTGGAGAACATGTACCATACACCAAGACTACTTCAAAAGTAGCTCCTTCCCATTCCCTACCAGCTACCTTTCCTTCCTGAGCACGCCTGGGAGACTCCTGCTCCCTCCCTGCACCCCGGCACACTGCGCTGCCAGGCAAAGTGGAGACATGGCCAGGATCAGCAGCCCAAAAGCCACGGGTGCTGCAGCAGCAGCTGAAACAGGCCCTGCAGCTGCAAGCCCCTGTGGCAGAGGGAGGGGGGGTTCATCGGGGAGCGCTCAGCATGGAGCCCAAAACACTACCACATGGACAACAGCAATGTGTCCCTGCAGCACCCACCGCAGCCAACTCCAAGTAGAAGCCATCTGAGGGAAATTTTATGATGTATCTGCAGTTTCTGTTAGAAGCATAAAAACAAAAGTGAAGGCTGTAACATCTGTGAGTCCTAAGTGCCTCTCTGTGCAGCGCTCTGCTTTGCACAGCGCTAGCTCTGCTGCAGTGATGCAGAAGGCAGGCTGTTTATAACGGTTTTGTTCTGGTAGCTCCCAGCTTTCCTAGGGGAAAGATTTTAGTTTCTGCAAAAAGCTGAATATTTTTGCACTTTCAAACAGTTTAGCATTTCTGGAGTCATCTGAATGTGAGGTCTCGGTGGGTCTCTAGATTCCAAGACACAACTTGGGCTAAATTGTCCATTTCTATGTCTTTTCTAGTCAGAAAGGAATTATAATTTAAAAGTAAAGTACATTCTTTCACTCAGGTATTTTTTGTGACAAGGAGGTTCAGCTACTATGTCTGTGCTGGATGAAATACAGAAACACATACAGAGAGATGTCAGAATGCCAGTGTAGGATGGCTGAGAACCAAAGGATGGACCAGCAAACACATTAGCAGGGAGTCTCACCAGTTTGGGGAGCAGCAGGGTGACAGAAACAGAGGAGGAATGATGAATACGAGAGAGGACAAGAGGGCTTTCCACAGCCAGCTGTGAACGATGGGAAGAAATGAGACCAGGAGCATGCAGGAACAACAGGGGAAGCTGGAAGGATCGAGGAACCTGAAGTGATCGGTTTGTCAGTGGTAGGGAGCTGGCAGCTGTAGTTTTGATCAAAGAAGAACTGCCACTGCAAACTGGCTTTTAATGGGGGGGGCATGCATACTTGGGGGCATGGGGAAAAACAGAAAGGAAAAGTGCAAGGATGACAGGTATGAAAAGGTCTCCAGAGCACCGATGATGCTTGGTCTTTGAGAAAATAATGAATTTAGGCCTTCTGAGTATGCTTCAATCCCTTGCTCTGCAGCTGTTCTCAGTCCCACTCTGTCCCCACTATGAGGGCTTACAGGGATTAAAGAGGTAAGATGAAACAAACAACCTGAAATAGCATCCCTCACATGCCTTAAGACCTTGATTAGGAGCGCATATACATTTTGTATTTACACATTCAACTCTTTGCAAAGACCTGATCATCCATGTGCGCTGTCAGACAGCCACACAAACTGCAATGGCTATTTCAGTTCATAACTTTTCCCATTCTTCTTAAATCTGGCACTGGAAGGGGCTGCTGTTCTGGCCCTTCTTACCTCGAGGGGTCTCATGCTTTGCAGCAGTAAGTGGGATCTGGGAATCTGCAGACATTTTCAAGTTTTCACACAGGAACAGTATTTGCTGATTCTATGATAACTTATGTCACAATGTATGCAACCTGGTAGATCACTATATGTAAGCAAGCACAACTGCACAAGGGAAAAGAAGGTCAAGTTAAGGATATGAGCATGATAATGTGATTTTCTTGAATTTAATGCATTCATGCAGCTGCAGCACTGCAATTGCTCTTTCTACAGTCACACAGAGAATCCATTGTCTCTTCTCAGTGCTCCAAAATGTTGCATGTCCCTTGCCTACAGATGCCTGGGAATATAATACACACCACTGCCAACTCCTTGTAATCTCAGTAGGGCCAAAGACTGTAAAATTCCTGGAGGCTTATTAAAGCTGCTGTTAATGGCATCGCTCAGATCAGACACTGGCCACTGCCAAGAAAAGCATCCTGCCTATGACTCCAAATTTTATGTAAGCACAGGGAAGACCTATAATGGCAACCTGCCCATTTTTGCAGCGTCTAAGCCTGAGTGAAGCCATCTAGAATCAGACAGACGGAAGTTTTAATTCCCCTATTTTGTCACTGATCATCCTGCTCAAACTGAGAGATGACTGCTGGAGTGTGGATGCTCAGGACTGCACACTGACATGGAAGACCAGATTCCTTCTTCTGGAAGAGATTGGGGCAGAGGCATGAAGAGTAATAGCCTTCTCTGTAGTGCGAGACCCCTCACTGGGGCGACAGAAGAGGGTCAGCCTGGCAGCCATTTAGCACGGGCAGTGTGTGAGCCCTCACTGAGCTCTGGCACAAAGCTCTGACTGTGGTCTCATGCAAGCACTGGTCCTCTTACTGTCTGCAAAACTGAACACATCCCTGGCACCAAAGCACCAAAGTGCCAGTTTCATTTGTGCCCTCCCTTCTGGGAGCCTCCTTGCCAAATCACCCCCGAGGAGTGGCTGGTGGGTAGCAGCAGCGGTTCCCACTGAGCAGCCACATCCCAAGGGAATTTCCCAAAGTGCTTTCAGAAGAGAAAACCCTGCAGTACTTGCAGATTTTTGTCCAGGTGTTCTGGGAATTAGCCCAAAGAAGCACTGGCAGCTGCGTGGCAAAGCTACCAACTTTGGACTTCTCAAAAGCAAGCTCTTCTCTCCCTTTCCTCAACACCTCCTAAACTTTCACCTGAGAGAAATATTTTGTGGCACCTTTGAAGCTTTAAGCCAGAAGCTGATTTTCCCTTGTCTTTTAAAGCACATTCATGTAGCAAATTAGAAGTACGAGCCAACCAATGTAAACATATGTAAATAGATTCTGGATGAAGCCAGCAGGCATGAGGCACAGCAGCACTGAAGACAGAACTGCTTGAACATTATCACTGCTGCAACCAAAGCATAAACTCTCCAGGGATCTCTGCATACCTAGTCTGGTTGTTAATGTTACAAAAGCACATGCAAAAGCCCATCACATATTTCTCACTAATCTTGCTCAGGCTAGTTACACAAATGCTAACACAGGCTCTGATCCCTTACACTGCTGTTCTGCTGTCGAGGCATGCATGCTCTCCTTTTTTGCCTGCCTGCAGTCCCAGATCAGATGCTTTGGGCCCCAGTGCTGGAAAATTACTGCTGTACTTTGCTGCTGCAGGGAGTGCTGTCATCTGAGAGACCGTTTGGCACTGCTGTCCTGACAGGAAGGACGTTTTTGACAGTGTTGCGGCTCTGTGCCATCTTTAGCTCCCCATCCCCACTCAGGTGGCTGGAGGTTCCCAGAGGTGGAAGGGAGAGGCTGATGCTCTGCAAATGTCTGTGAGCTGGCACCACACCAGGGGATGGGAGTCTGATGGCAAGCCAGTGAGTTGTACTGCCTGCAGTTTGAGCGGGGGGTAGTTGGCAAACACCACCCCAAACAAACTGAGTTGGGGTCTCATTTTGTGGCTATCTGAAATTACAGGCCTTATCTACGTGATTAGACAAGTGATTCCACTCTCTAATCTTACTCCAGCAATCAGCAGAGCTGTCCAGATCACCCAGGCTGAGCAAGTGTGGTTTCCATGTGAATCCGGGCAGAAGTACAACAAAAATCGCAGCTCCTTGGTCTGCCTCTGGCTTCTGCAAGTGCCAGTACATTACTGTTGGCCTTCAGCTGAGGTTTCCACTTAAGCTTGACTGAGCTTATAGCAAATCCCTGCTGCATCATAAGCAAGCTCTTTTTAAGTTTATCGGCTAAATGCGTCACTTCTATGCTACGTGCTGCCTTCTCCCCCTCCTCTTCTCTGGTTGAGCAGGCAAAGGGGAAGTCGCTGCTTCCCAATCACCCTCTCCCCACCCCCATAACATGCCTGGTGTGGATCTTGGCTGGCATTAACATCATTGGGCCAGAAATTGAGACTTCAGGCAAACCCCAGGCAGCTGCTTCCCAAAGCAGTGAGTGGTCCTGGTCGTGTTTAGGAAGGCAAAGACAGCAGCGTTGGTCTTCCAGAGGAGGCTGTGCCCTCTGGATCCCTTCCTCTTCCTCACCTCCCCCAGCTGCCCAAGTCCTGGGAGGGGAGGGGTTTGGGTGCACCTCTCCATGTAGCCATCTCTCTCCTCCATGCATGAGGCAGCTAATAAATGGGTGCTCTGGTACTCAGTTTGTCATAGTTAAATACTTTTCTGATTTAGCCTGTAAAAGCTACAGACAAGCAAGTGCAAATCCTAAACAAAATCTCAGTGCAACATTTGAAAAAAAGGTGGTGTTCTTCACTGTAATATATTTTACATAAAATTTTTAAAATGTTAGGAAATTATTCTTCCCCCATGGAAAACACTGATTATAAATCACCTTTTTGTTCTTATTTAATTTTTCTTCATGCAACTACAGTTAAAAGAAGCATAAATACATCTGCCTCAAAATGCTGAAAGCTGAAAAATGTACCAATTTTTGAATTTTCAGTAAAACAAAACCAAACCTTTTTAAAAATCATCAGTTATTTAGACAAAGCAATTTTGACTCCAAGTAGAAACATTCTCTACCATTCGTACCATAAACATGAAAAATGTGATAACTGTTTAAAGAAAATCACGCCTCTGTTACTTTTCAATGTACAGCTTGCTTTTACCAAGGCTGATAAATTTACCAGCAGTTAAGGCTTGCTTTTCATAAGCATTTACAGAACTGGTAAGAAGTCCCTCAGCACCATGAATTTATTTCTGACCCCAAAGGTCTGTGCTCTGATGCTGTGAATATATTGGTAGACCAAGAAAAGGGGAGCTGAAATTCATGTTTTAAATTACAGTTACAATTCAAACATGTCATTTTAAATGGAGGCTAATTAAAAGTTTGAGAGAAAAACATGTAAGACCACAGTGTATAACAAGAACCTAAAAAAAAAAAAATGTTGCTAATCAAAAGAGCAAGCAGCTCCAGCTTCACAATTTAAACATACTAATTTTAATACTGACCAACAGGTGTATCCTCTGAAAGGCTGAGAAGTGCCATGTTCCCATTTGTGCTTCTGGCTCCATTATCGAAGAAATAGGGGGCATAATTTGCCTGAACTGCAATTAAAACAAAACAGAAGCCGAAGAAGAGCATTTTGTAGGTGGCAGTTATTTGGCTTTGTTACCTGACTCTCAGTGAACATGAGCTGTTTTAGGAGTACTATGAGTGCATAACATACCCAGTTGCTGCAATGGACCTTCAGAACTATATCTGTACAGATATTCTTAATAAAATTACTTCTACATGCCACTGTGCTAGTATTCACACAGCAGCAAATAGAGAAAGAATACATGGAAAAAAACCCACAAAATCAACAGAAACAAAACAAGTAGCAGGTTCTCTCTAAAAAAATCCCAATCAGTTCCAGACAGCTTCATTGCAAAATTAACCTTTTCAGCTTTCAATGACTGTACCTCTCCCCTACTCTACACATGCAAGTATGAAAATTTCCCAGTGTCTCAGTACCTTACCCAGTATTTTAAGCACATTCTGTCTTAAAATTATGCCTACTGCACGAGCAATTAGCCATAATTAAATAGTTACTTACTTGCTGCCAGACAACAGCAAAGTTAAAAAAAAAAAAAAACAAAACAAAACAAAAACAAGAAACAACAAATTAGTTGTCATTCTACTAACCGACTGTTAGAGATCCAAAATAGCCCATTCGAAACAAAACTCCAAATACATAAACACAGAGGGTAACACTTGCACAGGGAGCAGTTGCCAAGGAAAATATTTCAGGACAACATTACCACATCAGTAAGGATTACTACGGGATTTAAGGTTATGCTTCTATCTCCCTGTATTCTCACATAACAAAGTGATTATTGTACTCACCCAGGCAAATGTGCATCAAACTGAGAAATAAGAAGGGGGTGAAATGCCTTACATGCTTCATCCCACTGAAGAAAGGGCCCATTTCTTTTCTGTTTCAAGGGTTTAGTGGTTTTTTTCTCCCTGAAAGGTCCAGGAATGTGTCCTTCAGACTGATGTACTGCAGAAATGTGCAAGAGGCAGTAACAGATGCTAAGATGCTAAGCGGATGACACGTCTTAATTTCTGAGGAATTTAAAGAAGCTCCTTCCTACCACCTAATTAGACCAATTACTTTGCAGGGAGCTGTGGGACTCATTTATGAGACAAGATTTGGAGGAATCAGTGCAACTCTCATAGGTTCTGTTGTTAGTACTGTATTTGTGCTGTCCAAAGACACAAATCAGAGAGAAGGTAAAGTAAAAAGTTTTCTTTCTGAACTCTTTTTAATTCTCTAAGCCAGTCCTCTAGTTTTGAGAGTTAAAAGAGGCTTCTCTTTATTTTAGTTTTGGTAATCTTGAGAAACTACAGAGGAAGAAAATCTAACTTTCACACCAAACAGTAAAAGTGATTGTTACTGTTTTAAAGGAAACAATCACCTTTATGATAGCAAAAGATATACAAAATTGCATTTTAAAAATGAGAAGTCAAGATGTTCTTTTAATGAGCTGGCCTTATCATTTAATTTTTAAACTGCATGAATTTCTGAAAGCATGTTTTACATTCAACAAGTAACTTTTAACCAACATATTAAAAACTGTGTTTAACTATCAACAGGTGGAAAAAGTTAACAAAGCAGTTCATTGCTTGCTTTGGTCTTCTGAACATAAAAGGTGCTTGCACTAAGTTAAAATACGTATCATCCAATAAATTACAGAGTTAAAAAAACAGCCACTCTGGGAAATTGTTCACAGGCAAACCTTCTGGCTGCTTGAAAGGAACTTCATCAATGGTAATACTCAGCTTCCAAACAAGGAGTTGTTTACATAGTGGCTTAGCTGTTTAAACTTGACCTGAGGCAAACCACTTGCCCTTTAAGGAAGTGTTGATGGAGTTTCCTGTTTTTTAACTAACAGCCTGCCGGAAAGAAACCTCTAAGAAGCTAATCAGTCAAAGAGTTCTCCACTGCCTCCAGTGCCAGGTGGGCAGCGCCCCTGGGCTAGCTTTCATCACACACACAGAGCAGGGACGGCTGGGCAGTCTCTGTGTGTTTTTCCCACAGAGGGAGCTGTCAGTTAGATCCTGCTGCGTATTTATAGCATACCTTACCGATCAGTTGCTGAAACTGCAGGGTGGAGTTTGGGACGATGGATGGAGGAGGCCTGGATGCAGCGCTGTGATGCTCCCGTGCTGTGGACAGGACACATCTGCGCCTTCAGATTCCCGTGGATCCACAGTGCTGCTGGGGGGACACCTCTGCCTGCAGAACAAATCAACTGTAAGGCTCCCAGAAGAGTAGAAGTGAAACTCTCGTGCACAATATTAACAAAACTCACCATCCATCATGGAACTTGCCAGAGAATGGTAGGGAGAGAAAAAGCCTAAAAAGTCTCCAAAATGGATCAGAAAAATTAATGAACATTAGGTTCATTGGTGACTAGTAAGTGTGATGATACAGATGTGAACCCTGGCTCAGTAAGGCACTAAATTTCCACCTGCCAGAGGCTTGAAAGTTAAACCAGACACAGACTCTTTGTCATCCTGATCTTTTTGCAACCATCTTGTACAAGACCAGACCTTTGGTGTGACTCTGCAAGACTGTTCTCGCAGAGCAGTGTTTGCAAAGGCTCCATGTTGAACCAAAGTGTGACTTCAGCAGTGGCCTATATAGCTCAGGGAAACTTGCAGCAGGCAATCGAGAAAAACATATGTATTTTTAGTGCATTTAAATTCACAATATAGGGATCCAAAGCTGAAAATTGTATGGGAGAAGGTACACATACAGAAGACAGGTATAGATGTAATCCCTGCTCCAGATTTAACCCTACCACCACTGTCAACAGTAATATTAAACCACTGATAAAATCACAGTGATGCACCTGCACGGTGCCCAAAAGGAAACATAAATAGCACCTAAATGTCCTCACCTGACTCCTCAATCTGGAAGTAACAACACACTTTTTTCTTGCACAGAATTTTCCTAGAAAAAAGTGATGGAAAGCTCTTGTCAAAGTTAATAGCTGTCTGTTCCCCTGGTTGCATCCCCTGGGGATCTAAATCTCTAGGGCCTGAATCTCCAAGGAAGCAAAATGTGTCACTCCTCCTGAATTTCAATGAGTTTGAGCTCTTAATCCCCTTAGAGTTTGAAAACCTAGCTAATATGCATCTATGCACACTCAGATACATACTTAACACAGCAACACTCTAACAGTATTATTTTCTGTCAGAAAATATGCTTTGATCAAAGCTAATACAGCTCATGGAGCCAGGCTGATTTTGATTAATTTTCTCCTTGGGAAGAAAAGGGGCAGGAGGGGGTTTCAGGAGTGCAATATGCTCTGTCCCAGCATTTTCAGGAATGGAAGGATCCCTCTCAATGTCTAGAAGAAATTTTCTATTTCATAGATTTTTAGCATATCAAGTAGCAAGAAACATACAAGAAGAATGAAATACACCCATCTGATCTGAACAATTTAGTTTCCCAGGGTATTCTGTTTGTTTAGTACTCAGTATGAAAACAAACCTAAAAAGATCCAATATTTTCAGAACAAAGGTTCTGGGTTTGGGTCACTGATTAGCAGTATCTACTAGAGTTTGTTAGACAATCTGAATTTTTATAAAATAAAAATTTAAATGTTGAAGGATACTACGATAATGCAATTAGCATTTTTGCAGACTTTACCCCTTCTGACCACAGCTTGGGTGTACCAGTACTGGTGCATCATGGCTGTAACTGCTGTTTTGTGCACTGTGAACCCCCCTGGGGTGCCCTGAGCCATGGAGGCTTCTCTTCCCCCAACACTAATCTATGTCCTAAACTGAAGCCAGAACCTTTCAGGGCACAGAGGCCAGACATAAAACCAACCACACACAAGCCCCTGACAGCTCCTACCCTCTTACCTCTCTGAGCCTTTGAGAATCTTGGAAAAACCTGGGCCCCAACATATTTACTTTTCTTAGCCCTAAACCCCAATTTAAGCATAAGACTAGCAGTCTTCCTTAACCATGTATGGCTGACAAGAAATAGGCTTTCACCTGTACTGAGAGGTGCCCTTTTTCCGTTTCTACATCCCTGAATATGGGAGTTGTGGGCCCCACCAATACAGCTGTTCTTGAGCCTAATCCCAAAGACCAACCTAAAATGTAGGCCAGACTAGAACTGGCAACAGACACTAACTCTAAAACGGCATATAAAATGCCACAACACCACAGCTCCTCACACTATGCAGCAATACCAGTTGGGTATATAATACCAAGCTCAGGGTTTCCTCTGTTGTGGGGTGGGAGGAGGCCTGTTTACAGCCAGCAATGAGCAAGTGTCCCTTTTCGGTCACCGGCATCCCAGCTGGCGCTCACTGCCACCCGCACTGGCAGTCTGAGCCGAGAGGGCAAAGACTGAGCTGACACAGAGAGAAATTACCGTTTCCACATTGTGGGTGGCCCTTTCACCTCAGGGCAATCACATTAGAGCTGCCTACCTGGGGAGTGCCTGCTTTGCATATAAATGCGAGGTTTCCATGAGTTGAATTTCAATCAGTTTTTCAGATGCTTACACACATTCGCGATTTAAAAATAGAGAGAAAAACAAAATTAAAGAAATAACAGAGATTAAATTAGCTTCCACTGTCCTGCTTTCCTTTATATTAACTATGTACAGTCTTCAGAAATTAGGCCTGCTTCCATGTGAGTTATAAACCCCTCTGTTTTAGACTCTGGACAGTACTGATAATTAATGAAGGTCACATTCATATAATAGCAGCTTAAGCTACTCTTTTTCCTATGCTTGTCCTCTAATTCTGGGTGAATCTGACATTCAGCATTACCTTGGAGAGGAACATTTGGCATTTTTTGTGTGTGCATTTGTGTGTGTAGATAAACACAACACAAAAAGCACTGCACATTTTATATAAACCTCAGCATGTACAGAAAGAGTCCAAATTACACTCTGGCCTTTCCTCTCTAAATCACATGCAAAGAGGAGCTGTGGGAGTTACCATTTATACCTGGAGGCATTCTGCATAGAGCTATTCACTTGGAACTGCTTGATGCAATAGCCATGAAGAGGAGAAGTGGAGCCTCAGCCATTTTCAAGACCTTCCTCAAAAATCTCCCTGTTCTCACATCTTTGAATGTGATAGGGAAGTTATTATTTACCCTTGAAAGCAAAGGAAGGGGAGCAGGTTGGGCCTGCGACATACACCACAGGTAAGACAGACACCCTAACAACCCTGTGTTTGACACAGCTGTAACCACAGTGGGGCTGTTCCTTGCACCCCAAAGGGTCACTAGCAAGTCCCACAGTATTGTTTGAGCAAGAATTGTCCAAGATGTTCTCCAAACATCTTAACAGCTCCAGGATGTGCTAAGGTAAAGTAAACATAACAAATGCACCAGTTGCTTGGATGTTTGTTCTCTGGCTGGGACCTCAGGGTGGGTCATAGTGCTCTGTGTCTCAACACTCTGCTTACACTGACTCAGCTCTGCTGATACCAAGTTAAATGCACAGTTCCCACCACAAACAAAACAAAACACTCTTGCACATCCAAACCGCATTATTCCTCCCTCTAAAGGACTGAGAGATGTTTTATACTGGGACATGTCATCGCTCTCCACCAACTTCCATTACTACAAGAGTGCAAATGATGGTGAAAATGCAGGAACAACTGTTGATGACCACTTCAGATGACTGTCTTTGGTGATGAAGGATTTTACATGAGCTATCCTTTGCATTTCCATAGCATAGCACCATATCTTCTGGCTGGCTGCTGAGAGAAACTATGGGAAGTGCTGGGGGATTTGCAGGAACCTGAGCCAGTCTGATGGCAGGAGAGAAGAGCCTAAAGTCCC